GATATATTACATGTAACTTATTTACATCAATGATCAAGTCCGAACTGCTTTTGAATCGCCATTTTGCGAAATTAGATAATCTTCAAAATGATGTATAACATGACTGATTTCTGGGCGTGTGGAGAGCTTTAATGCCCATTTCATAAAAACGACGTTTTTTTAGGGCAAAAAATGCGGGGTTTTTTCACTTAGAGGATAGGGGGTGTCATCTTTGTGAGTGTTTTTGAACATGTTCAGCTATTGACAGGGACATAAGACCCTCATTTTGGGAAAGTAGACATTTCAAAGTATTCGAATCCGTTAACAGCCCAATTTTGATCTAAGACTAAAAAATGACGTCATTTGACCATGGCCTTCCCCCGCATCATGCCTTAAATATCTTGATAACGACTCCGGGTAAATCTTTCGATTTTGATAGAGCAGACAGAACATTTCGTTTCCCTCATGATCATAGTCATAGTTATTCAAAATGGCCAAAAATGTCCGAACTTTGTAATCTAAGATAGCGACTAATGTCGGCAGTCTGGTGGTTACGCTGCAGGACTCATAAATCATGGGGTCGCAGGTTCCAGGATTCGAGCCTCAGGTCCGACGTTGTGTCCTTGGGAAAGGCTCTTTACTCGAATTTTCCTCACTTCGGTGGAATGGGTACCCAGCCATAGACAACGACAGATCTTGTAAGTATATTAGTTTTTAGCGCTTACAGTATCAGGTCTGTAACACGCATAGAACTGTTTAGCAGCAGATATATGCGCATCATTTTTTCAGCTGCCTCCTTTTCCTGTATCAGAAACCAACATTAAATTATGTCAAAAGATCAGCAACAACTAAGAAATTATTTTGAAAAGAAAACTCAGTTGTGAGTAACACAGCAACAGACAAAACAATCCGACGGAATTTCAATTCAAAACATCTTTATTAAACCTCTTGTATCACAATGAAGGTCATGGTAGGAGAAGGTGTCGGCATCCTAGAATTTAAAAAGGGTGGTGCAAAAACACACCCCTATTGTGCCTATCTAGTCTTTCATTTCAATTATAGGATAATCTTATTGCAATCCACAAAATGCTCATGTATCATACAGACTCAATAGAAACATTCCAATTTAAAATATTTTAACAGAGTTGCTGTAGAAACTGAAGTCTACTGATTAAAAATGCCTACATGTACATTTAGAGACAATGTACTAAAATGATTTTAAAAAAGACTTCAAAATTATTTCCCCCATATTTTTTTTTTATCCTCTACAGTAGGTTTTAAAATATCATTTAATTGTGAACCTAGAGATCTATTTCAAAAAGACAGGGAAAAAACCAACAACTAACCAATTTAACCGTAAACATCTGTCTTTTCTGTTTCAAATCTTTCAAAGACATGTACAAGAAGGAAATGGAATTCCCAAAAGGCACACATATCATGTCCAAAAGTAATCGTCAACAAAAATCATTTTAAAACTTGAACCACCCCCCCCCCCTACTCCCCCATTTCCTCGAGAATGTTTTAACTGAGGGTGTGAGAATTGCACTAGCCGAGTATAGTATCTCTAAACCAACAAGTCATTTACAGAACACAACCATAAAAGGTCAACAGCAATAAATTGCAGTTTATGTGACCCCTGTTATCCTAATGTCAAACATATTGCTATTTTGTAACAGCAACATGCTAGGCTATACATGAGGAAAATATTGGTCAGATATTTTTTTCAAAGTACATATTACTTCAATGGCGTATATGCCATCATTCACTTCTGAAATATGTAGCTGTTTACTTTATAAAGAGAAAAAGAGATTTTAAAAAACAATATTTTTGACAGCAATGTGTGAAACCAGTCACAGAATAGACTGAACCAAAGACTCATTAGAAGAACACATGTTTCACGATAAGCATTTTGTACAAATTATCGTACAATACACTTGCGTCATACACTCAAACACTCCAATAGCTGGCTACTGTAGTAAAGTGAGATACAAACACTGCCAACATATGAAAATTTCAAGCTAAAAAAACCTTGGATCCGAACTCATCCCACTCTTCCAGCAACATTTTCACTCAGCCTCGAATCCAGTTGAAGAACCAAGAGCTTGGAATTCAGTGCCTTGTAGGGAGCTAAAACTTCTACAAGGTAAAAAGAAATTTAAAAAAACAGTACTGGCAGCATTTACTGAGAGTGAAAGAGAGACAGAGAAGAAAGGGAGGGAGGGAGATAAAGAGAGAGAGAGAGAGAGAGAGAGAGAGAGAGGGGAGGGGGGAAGGGGGAGACAGGACAAACATACAGACAGACAGAAAGACAAACAAACACACAAACTGAGACACACATAGAGAGGAACAGAGAGAGAGAGAGAGAGTGAGTAAGAAAGTTAAAACATCATGTGTAGATATGATGTTGTGTATGTATACATTTTGTGTCACAGAAGCAAATGAAAGTGCAATGTAAATTTTTTTCCAACAGAGGATCAACTAAGTAAATTTTATCTTACACAGGTAACAATTCCAAAGGGAGAAAAAAAAATATTCAACAATTTTGTTCTTTAAAATTTCATAAAATCACATGCCAAAGTCTGCCTTCCACTTCTCCATAACAGCTGTTGAGACAATGCTCCCTCCGCACACGACAACCAGGACAGACTTGACCGTGCCCAACTTTCCACTGTCTTGGAGCTGTTTCACTACATTACTATAGACAGCAGCCAGGCTAGCCCCACAGGCGGGTTCTACCAGGAAACGGTGGTCATCTGGAGAAAGAAAAAATGCATAAAAGGAAGTTATTTCACAACTTCACATTGTTGTTGTTCCTAAAAAATGACAAGCACTTTACGAACCAAATTTTATAATCTTAGTTTTAATTTTAGTTAGAATTTACGGCCCTTGCAACATAATTAAGTCATATATGTGTCTAACATAAGTGTGTTACTTAATAATAATAATATAGCATTTGTATAGCGCATATCCCCGCTTGACAGCAAATTCTACATGCTTTACATTATCATTTTTACTCTAGCAAACCACAGAACACTCTAAAACATTCTCAGCTTCCCAGGAAGCATACAGTACAAGTAGCTGATTAAGCGTTCAAACACCAACAAACTGACAAGAACTTTCACTGTCTAACGTACAAAAAAAAGGAGGAGGAGATAAGAATGATAGATTTTTTATAGGAAAGAAGGAGCAAGCAACACCAGAGCGCCTGCCAACCACCCATTTCGAATGCTTCAGTTCAGAGTGCATTGACCTTGGCCTGTAAGTCTAGCTGGGATAACTAAAATTAAGAACATCTAAGCGACTATTGATGAGTATATTCATCTCCCAGTAGGGCTCCTTTCAAGACTAGCGAAGATAATACATATGTACTAGCTGTGGTAGATGCTTCTAAAAAAACCCTGTAAAACTTTCAGTAAAATTAGGTTTTTATGCCCCCATAGACACAAATTAGATCGCTTAGAAAGTGGGCTTTGACCCTGGCTGTCAGGGCCAGCCCGAACTGAGAGGTATACACGTCCCAGCAGAAACACCAAGATACTCAATAAAAATTCTCCCCACTCAGGAATCCAACTTGGACCTCATGTGTGCTGTGGCAAAGCACCAAGCCGCTACACCACAGACACCGGTCAACTTTCTGTGTCAAATCAACATTCTCCAAACATTCACTAGTAGAGAAGTAAACATTTATCTTTTTTTAGTATGGGGTTTAACGGCGCTCGCAACTGCATAAGTTTATATGAGCGTGCGAAACACAAGTTAGTTCTATTCCTCACAGTTCACTGTACGGCAGGGCTCGGGTCATTAGTTAGATCTTAAAATGTTAAAATATTTAAAATTTGGTGTAAATATATTTTCAATCTAAAACAACTTTCCTAAATAACGTAAACATTTTAAATAATTTAATTTCACTTTATAATTTCCCATAAAGGCCAATGGCCTTCATAAAATCTAAAATTCTGTTGGGAACAACGACGGAAAAAATATCTTGCAATTTTTTGTATATAAAGTAGCCATAAAGTATTTCCTTCGGGTCTCTCTGAAGTCTAGACATTCGTTTAAAATGCGTCTTATGGTAAAATCTGTGTCGCATCCGACACAGAACGGCTTCTCTTCTCCCTGAAGGAAGTATTTGTGTGTTAGGGCCGTGTGTCTGAAGCTTACTCAAGAAAAAATGACTTTGTCTCTTCTGGAGAGGCGTGAAGGATTTCGCTGTTCCATTTTGGGTTTAATGTTGTGCAGTTCATTATTTGTTTTTTCCAATGGCTCTCCCACAGACTGGAGGTCACATATTTTTTGTATATTTGCTAGGCACAAGTATGTTAGAACTAATTGTTGGACGTGAGTACAATAGAACTAAAATTACTGCTCTCTTACTGGCTCTTATACTTTCTTTCACACAGCATAAATGGCATCCATGGTCCTGACAGTAGATCTTGTTTCATGTTTAAGTAAGCATTTAGCAGCACTTGCAACACAATTAGGTCATACTAGTGCCAAAGTTGGGTTTTTTTGTAAGAGTTTTACGGCACTTGCAACACAATAAGGTCATGTAAATGTCGAAGATTAGAGTTGTTACAAGAGAGTAACAAACACAAAGTAGAAGGAGGGGAGATAAGGATGATAGATGTTCAATGGGAGCAAACCCCACCAGAGCACCCGCCAACCACCCACCCCGACAGATCTGCCATCCACAGTGGTAACAACAAGTGAAAAGATAAGACATTACAATAAAGTCTACACTCCAATGACTCTGTACTAGTATTCCATTACCATTGATTTTTAAAAATTCTTAATGTTCACCCACAAATCACTAACAGACAATCACAACCAACCTGAGAACCGGACGCAGGCATCAATCACTTGATTATCAGACACCATTTCATTCAGGATCCGTGGACAGGCTTGTTTGTAGTACTCTAGAGTTTGAGGAGACACAATCAGACTGCCTAAAGACTTGGCTATGCTGTTGAAAAAAGAAAACGAAGAAGGATAAAATATCACGTTTCAATATTGTGGACTTCATCTCTGGAGAAAAATTTTTTTTTTCAGCCAACAAAGGAGTAGTAGACCAGAAAGTTATTTTTAAGAAATTAGTCTACAATACAGGCTAAAATATGACATTAATTCTCTCAATACCCTTACTTTTCAATCTTAATTCTTCTCCTCCCTTCCTTCTCCCATCCCTTCAAACTTCATCTCCTCCTTGGACCTCCACCCATCCATCGACCTCCACACCCATCGCACTATCAACTTTCAAAGCTCATTCCCCCAGCTTCATTAGAAAAGATAATTTTTTCAGTCACAAGTCATTAGATAAGGAACTTGACTAATCTCCCCCCATTTACCAAATAAATGTACTGTCTTGACAATATGTACCTTGTAATGGCAGGAATGAAGACTGCCTCACCAGCAGCAATGGCAGCATTAAAGCAGTTTGCTCCATGAGTTTCCATTGCAAGCACAGGAACCTGCACACAGAGAAATCATGACAACAATCAATGACAGACAGAAAAAGGAAAAAGAAATAGACTAAAAATGAACTACCAAAGGATCTAAAAGAGACCAATTTATTCATCATCATCATCCAGTGCCAGATCTGTGACAGACATCTGCGATCATGGTTTTCCCTTCATTCCTTTGCTCTGATGCTCTCAAAAAAGCTACGTTTCACTGATCTTTCCCTGTTACCTTTTGTTTAGGTTCCCTAAGTATGTTGTTCTGGGCCTACCCCTGCCTGGCTTGCCCTCAATTTTGCCAGTGAAAGCTAGATGTTCAAGACCCTTATGTCTGTTCAGTTTATTCAGAAGTAGTAAAATGTAGATAAAACATCATTTATTTGTGATGAATTAGATAAAAACCAACTCCTTTTTCCAACCAAAGTCTTTCTCATCATGACAAGCTTTACAGGACCCTTTCACAGCATCACAGTTCTTCTATTGGCAGCTCAAACACTTCTGGTAATTGCAATTAACACAACTAAATTTATGAACTTATCCATTGAAGTTTAAAATATCTCCTACACTATCTAGACTTGAGTGCACACTTGAGCTTTTAACTTTCAGCTCACTGAATGCACACCCAGCATATGGGGGTGCAAACCTAGCAGCCACCCTAAAGGAGCTCTGGTACATGGGGCCTGAAAGGCTTAACACCTATATGAGACCCTGAACAAGAATATGCCTGAAGCCCAACTGCTTCCACAGGACCACGGACGAGAATACTCTTGAACGACATGACTTATCTCTAAACGAAGGTCTGTCAATGTTTCCCTAAAGATATTTATGGTTTTATTAACCTACCAATGAGTTCGGCTTTGATATTTTGCTTCTGATTTCTGACAGATAAAATAAATTTAAACAGGTATTTCACGAACCGGAGGTGCTCAATAAAATTTGTATATACACAGACAGTGTTGAATCACAATGACCTTGACTATTTGGTTCAGAAGTCTTCAGATCGAGAAGAAAGTGATAAAAATAAATCTGGAACCAGTTATAATTGATTGAGGAGCAATTTACTTTAAAGGCTTAAAGAGATCTAGATCTAATCTTTATATCCCTGTTAGGAGCTGACTCCGGACAAAAGCTTACTATTACGTAAACGATTAAACCTAAATGACTCAAACCAAAATGTTCTCTCCAAAAAAAATGAGTAACGACATAGAGAAACACATTTTTAACAGTTTAGTGAAGTTTCATATCTATAACTTGACTAGAGGCAGAGCTATTCACATAAGAGTAACTGAAAGTCAAGTGTGAGGCTGGTCCCGTAGGTGATGTTGTTGTTGTTGTTATCGATCCAGCAACAGCTGGGCTCTCGCCCTTCTGTCCAATGCCATGTAGTGATAAGTACAGGTCTGCTGCAGTTGCTGTAAAGTTCCATAGAGTGTGTTGTCAATGTTAGGTCTCGGAGGGAGAAGGGTAGCTCTGATGTCATTTAGGGCTGTACAGTGGAACAGGTGATGATCCACAGTCTCATATGCATAGTCACACAAGGGACACATTGGGGGAAGTTCTGGGTTTATTCTGTTCAGGTGGAAGTTGAGCTGTATATGTTCTGTTCGTAGGCGGAAGATCGTGGTCTGTTTCTTTCTCTGAAGGCGGTTGATATTGTCATTCCGAAAAATGCTCTGCCTGTCTTTCCCAGGGCCCATCTGTTCATCCAATCTTGTTTGTTGTTGCTTTTGAAGATTTGTTTTGCAGTGTTGTATGAAGTTGGAATGTTGGGTTGTTCCTGTCTAGATCCCCGTTTGGCGAGTGTGTCTGCTCTGTCATTTCCAGGTATGTCTGAGTGTCCGGGGACCCACTGCATTACTAGGTTGATGCCACAGAATGTTATCAGATGATGGGATCCAAACAGTATATGGGTCAAATCTTGGTTTAGGTGATGGTCATTTTCTATGGCTTGTAATACTGATAGTGAGTCAGAGAAAATCACAATACTTTGTGCTTTTCCAGGATGAGTGTCAAAAACTGTGCGGAGATGGTACAGTGCTGTTTCAATTGCCATCATTTCTGCATCGTAGTTGCTGCATTTCTCTCCACAGGCTGCAGAGATCTCATTGGAACTTCCATCTGGGTACTGTATTAGTATTCCATATCCGGCTTTGGTTGTGCCTTTGAATGCTGAGCCGTCCGTATAGACGTGTATCCAGTCATCTGAATAGCTGTCGATTGTTTGATGTGATGCAAGCATCAGCGTCACTGGGTCTGAAGATTTTGTGCTCTTGTCTTTGAGAGATGTTGTAATGATTGGCTTTTTTAAAAAAAGGTGGGGGTGGATGTTTTGGTTGACTCTTTTGGTTTCTTTTCTATTTTGTGGTAGATGGTGGCTCTCCATTAGTTCTGTGATGTGATGCATGATTGACTTTTGTTGAATTCGTTTCTTTGGTTTTCATGTTTCTACTAATTTCCTGTTTGGGTGGTTGGGGCACATTCTTTTAGTTCTTTCATGTAGCTCCAAAACTGCTTTTTCTCTGCGGATTCCCAGGGGTTCAACATTTGCAAGGATTTCGCACGCGGCGGTAGGTGTGGATCTCATGCCGCCATTTATAAAAAGAAGGGCATTGTTTTGGACCTTGTCAAGGGTGTTGCAAGTAGTTGTAACTGCACATAGTGAGTAGGCTATTGCTGTATTCCAGGGAAGATCGGACATAACCCAGGTATAGAGCTCTCAGAGTTTGTTTGTCTGACCCCCATGAACTGCTTGCGAGTTTCTTTAAAAGTTGGAGTCTTTTTTTTGCCTTTTCCTTATGTTCTCCACTTGGCTTTTCATGATTAGCTTATGGTCAAGTTTGACTCCTAGGTAAGTTGGATGTTCTTCTTTGGGGAGACTTTCATTTCCTATCTTTTGTTTGAGATTTTCTTTGGCTGCTTTATGGCTCTTCGTGAAGATGGTGTATACTGTTTTCGTGCAGTTTAAGTTAAGTTTCCATTTCTGACAGTAATTATGGAGCCTCATGAGGTCTTCATTTAATTTCCCTGCTCCTACTATCGTGCTGTGATGTGTCTGCCAGAGAGCAAGATCATCAGCATAAAGAGTCTTTTCTGATTTCAGCACGTTCGTTACATCATTAAAGAAGATCAGGAACAAAGTGCAACTCAGACAGGAACCTTGAGGTAGGCCTTCCTCAAGTACTTCTCTTGACGAGTGGGCATTGTTTACCTTGGTTTCAATGTTTCGATCCGACAGGAAGAACTTGATCCATTTGTAAAGTTTGCCATGTATCCCGTCGTCCATCAATTTCATGAGTAGGCCTTTTCTCCACACTCTGTCGTACGCCTGTTGGAGATCTACAAAGATGGCGACAGTGTGTTTACTCTCCTGAAATCCATCCTGGATGTTTTGACTCAGTTTAAAAAGTTGATCTTCTGTGTTGCTGCCTTTTCTGAAGCCTGCTTGGTGTGGGTTTAAGCTGTTAGTATTTTCCAGGTACCAGTAGAGGCGGTTGTTTATCATTCTTTCCGCAAGCTTACCGATACATGATGTTAATGAGATGGGTCGGTAGCTTTTCGCTTCTCCAGGTGGTTTCCCATTTTTCAGGAGTGGTGTAATCTGGGCGATCCTCCATGCCTTTGGTATTCCACTCGTTCTCCACGTGGTGTTTATCAGGGAAAGAAGAATTTCTTTTCCTTTAGCACCAAGGTGGCACAGCATTTCGTTGTGTATTTTATTTGGTCCTGGGGCTTTCTTTTCCTTTAGCTTTTTGAGGGCCTCACTGAGTTCCATCATGCTATAATCCTCTTCAAAAAGCGAGTTGTTCACAGTAGGATCATTTTCTTTATGCTTAGCCCTATTAATGAGAAGTCTATCAGCCTCGGTTAGTCTGCCTGCCCTGTTTACAGAGGCGAAAAAACGGTTAAAATGTTCGGCTTTCTTCTGGTCTTCAGTGATGGTGCTGCCTGAAAGGAAAAAGGGTTTGGGGTTGCTTTTTTGTCTTTCTCCCGAGAGGTTGCTGACAAGGGACCAAGCCTTTGTTCCATTGTGGCGGAGGTCGAGATCTTTGCAGGTTTGAGTCCATTTCTCTTTTTTGGCTTTTTTTACTGTCACTTTCACCTGAGCGCAGGTCTTGTTGTAGTGTATTTTGTTTATTGTTGATGGTGATTTTTCCAATGACTGTCTGGCTTTCTCTCTTTCTGCCACAGCAGTTTGGATTTCTTCACTCCAAAAGGGTTTGAAATTTCTTCGGCATCCCCATGGAATGTGCTGAGATGCAGCTTTCAGAATATTTTCGGTGACTTGTTCGTCCCGTAGGTGATATAGGACCAGGGCTTAAAGAATTGAAATAAAGTCGAACCTGCTTAAACAGCTATCTGTATAAGACAATCACCTGTGCATATTATGGCCACTTCCTATTTCCCCCCATTGGAATTTCTCCATTATAAGGACACTGTGTTAGACGTCCACCTGTCTCAGACAGCCACTTTTCTCTTTGACAATAGGCAGCCATCTTAGACAATTTCAATTGCCCTGAGCCTTCTGTGGACTAACTGTAAGCTTAACGTAAATCTCTCGCCCTGTCCAAGCTCACTGTTACACACAGTCACTTGCTTTGACAGACTATACATGTTTTAGTTTTAGTAGGAGTTTTACGACACTTGCAACAAAATATGGTCATATAAGGGCCGAAGATGACAGGTGTTACAAGAGAGTAACAAACACAATAAAAAAGGAGGAGAGATCAGGAAGATAGATGTTTTGTTTGTTTAAGAAGAGGTTTTACAGCGCTAGCAACTGCAGAAGGTCATATGAGCGCCAGAAGATTAGAGGTGTTAAAAGAGAGTAACAAACATAAAAAAGAAGGAGGGGAGATCAGGACGATTGATTTTTTATAGGAAAGAAGGAGCAAACCACACCACAGCACCCGCTAACCACCCACTGATAGATGTTTGATAGGAAAGAAGGAGCAAACCACACCAGTGCACCCACCAACCACCCACCTATACATTTTTTCCAAAAATATTGAGAAAAAAACCCTAGAGAGTAATTACCTCGTCCCAGCCCACATCTCTCATGCCCTGCACGATGCCGTTCAGGAGTCCACCTCCACCGACACAAGTGATGACAAGGTCTGGACGTTCGGACATCTGGCGTGATGACTCATTTATCAAGGATGCATGACCTTCCCTGGGTGGTACACATTAAAAAAAGTGTTCTGTTTCTAAGTGAGAAAAATTTGCCAAATGAAAAAGAAACAAAATTAAGACAATGGTAAAAAGAAACGCATCTACGGAGTGAATGAAATGTAGTGTAAATGTTTTATGGCCCCATCTACACAATTTAGATAATTGACGAAACATGTTACTTTGACTCTGCCTGCCAGGGCCAACACAGGTTAACCGGGATACAATATCCCACCACAACAGTCTGAGATATTGCGTAAAATAACTTCCCTTCAAAGGAATAGAATTCAGGTATTCTGCAAATAACACCAAAGAGCTTAACTATCACATCACAGAAGCCAGTTGATATGCAACTGACAAAAATACAAAACAGAAAAATACCAAAATCGCTCTTAATTTCCAGTGATTTTCCTTTGACTTTTTTCTAATGTGTACAACAGATTAATTGAACATGTTAACAAGTGAACAATAGTATTATTCCAAGCTAATCTAATTTGTTTGGGTTTGGTGTTTTTTTTTCAACTTACCAAATATCAGGGTGCTCAAAGGCTGGAATTAGCATGCATCCTGGAAATAACCCCAAAAAAAAACAGGTTAAAAGTCTCAGTATGACAACATAGTCTCTCTTTGTCATTCACTTGCTCCTTAAAGCGGTGTGTGCAGTGTGGTGTCAGTGGTATATCAAGGCTGCCAGACTCACAACCGTAACGTTGCAAATTCCAGTTCCGGTCTAGGCCAGATGTTGTGTCCATGGGAAAGGCACCTACATACATTTTCCTCACTTCATAAAAGCGAGATTGAGTATCCTGCTACAGACAGAGAACAATCTTGTCAGTGTGCTAAGGTTTGGGTGGCTGTTAAAAGGAAATGATGGTAGCTTTAGGAATATAAAAACAGTACTCACACAAGTACAGTTTTCGCCCTTCTGTCTATTAAAAATACAAGTCTTTTTCATGCTGCTTACTTCTTAATCATTATCGACTCAATTTTTTAAAGTATTTCTGATAAATACAAAATCACTATAAAGACCCAAAATTTACCCCATTTCTCCTATTCATCAGCCCTTTTTTAAATAATACTATACACTAAAATGCAGCAAAAATGGGTAGTCAGTGCATATAACTTAATCCCTCCACAAAGTTTCAGTGTAAAAACAAAGAAACAATAAACAAAAACGGGTCATTGACTTAGATAACATGATCAAGTTTTCCAAACTAAACAAAAAAAAGGGAAAGACAAACCAAATCGGAAAAAAATGACACCACTCCGATAAGTGGACCAAAAAATAAAAAGTCAGGTCACGTGCAAACCTTCATTCCTACGATATCGATATTCACCATGGGCTCTTATCTGTACGAGAGATATCAGCTCTTATCAGCATGACAATGCTTTTATGACAAGAAGTTGAAAAGTGCAGTGGTGCCTTCAAATGCGGCAATCTAGGAAATACATCCAGTCAAAACCAGAAGCTGAGATGCCTGAAGTCAAAGTGCATACAATTGTCAAAAACACTATACATAATATATTTATATATAACAGACTACACCACAGTAAAAATTATCTGACAAGTTGATCTGTTATACTTCCTTATATGTGAGGCATCATGGTGAAATCAAGCGCTCTTCCAAATAATGAAAGTGAAGAAAATGGCATTTTCCACCCATTGAGTAATTAGAAACAGAAGAATGTCCAGGTCTCAAGGTAAATGGAGAAAATATTAATAACATTAGATATGCCGATGACACAGTTTCAATAGCAGACTCAGAAAAGGACCTTCAATTGCTTCTACATACTGTTGGAACAGAAAGTGAATGTAAAGGATTATTGTTGAATGTGTAAAGAAAACAGAATGCATGGTAACATCCAAAAAAGCAGCAAATCCTAGTTGTAATCTCATTCGCAAAGGTGAAAAGATCAAACAAGTCCAACAGTATAAATATCTAGGACACATGATAACATTAGATGTCAAATGTTTCATAGAAAGAAAACGAAGAATTGCAATGGCTAAGGCTAGTTTCAATAAATGAGCCCAGTCCTGAAAAAAAGAAACATCTTAATGACTACCAAAATGAAAGTTCTGAAAATGCTATGTATGGTCAACCCTTTTATATGGCTGTGAATGCTGGACAATCACTAAAGATAGCGAAAATAAAATAGAAGCAACAGAAATGTGGTTTCTTAGGAGAATGCTTAGAGTATCGCGGAAGGAAAAGAAATCAAATAAGGCAGTGCTTGGTGGAGCCCATGTGGGACGCTCACTGTTAAAAATAACCAGGAAACGATAAATTCAGTTTTTGTGACACCTGAATAGACATTATAAGGGTTTTGAACATCTCTAGCTCTCACTGGCAAAATTGAAGGCAAACGAGGCAGGGGTAGGCCCAGAGCAACCTACTTAGGGAACTTAAACAAATGGGTAACAGGGAAAGACCAGTGAAATGTAGCTTTTTTAAGAGCATCCGAGCAAAGGAATGAATGGAGAACCATAATTGCCGATGTCTGTCGCAGATCTGGCACTGGATGATGATGATGAGTAATTACATGCATTATTGATTTTTCTTTTTGGCACTGAACACCTTTTATGTCCAATTGAAAACACATTTATGTGTAAACTTTACTGAAAAACTTTGATCAAAGGCACGAAAAATGTAAATTTGCAGTTTGCATGGACTCACCAGACAAACCCTTCCTTCTATAAAAATAAATAACTCAACGTCTTTTCAAGACAAATGGGTATTTTCTTCATCATGCACAAGACAAATATACAAGTTTTAAGATATCAAAAACTCCATATGCCCAAAAATGACAAGCACCTGATTCCACTGCATCTTGACACATGTGACAAATGACCAGAGCACTTCAGAGACTAAAGCAGCCACTGTTAGCAATCTTACGCAAATAACGAAAGTTCAGTGTTAACAACCTTTTGCAAATAATGAAATGAAACTTTCAACCTGAGTGACAAATCTTCCCCAAATAGGGAGTCAAAATCACATCTTTCGTTTGCAAGATACAGAGCATAATTCTTGCACCACAGGTAGTGGCAAGAAGTTTCATTTCATTACTCAAAGCTCAAGGCTTGTACACAGAATCACTTACTTGGCTGACTGCCCAGTTCAACAGCCAGTTTTTTTGCTTCATCATAAACACTGCCATGAACCTTTACCTCCGCTCCCTGTGAAAGATACACAATACAAACACAATGCTGTATCATACAGAAGTATGCATTGTATAGTATGTTCCTACCAAACAATATTTAAAAATGTATGCCTTGGACCACTAGATATATTACTCCCTAAAAACTTTCCAAATCTATATACATGTAATAAAATTAATGTTGCCACCTATGCTGGAAAAAAAAGACATTTAGTCTTGGTTCTCAAATGGAAATTCTAGCACTGTAACCTTCGCTCCTACTCTAGTCTTTGTAAACAAGATACATTATTCCTTATAAACAGTATCCTATTCACAATGATAAAGAAGAGTAATTCGTCTGGGAGTAATCAAACTTTGTAAAAATGCTAAATGCTTGCTTGTGATGGAAAGCTTTGACCTCCATCAACTTGTGGACAGATGAAAGAGGACAGGAAGAGTGAAACTTGTTTCATGAAGGAAACAGAAAACATAACCAAACATTTTTTTTAAATTGACCCAATGGCCTTTATTTAAATTTGGTTACAAAACTTGAAGTAAAAAATCAACCTGGTCACAAAAGCTAGCCAGAAATATTCATCTGTGCATTTTCAAGAAACAATAACATTGCCCCCATCAAGAACAATATTCACAGAGAGATTTCCAATAAAAAGGTAAGGAGATGTATTATGACTGAAAAGAATATATATCATTCGACAGCATTTTGCCCAAAACATGACACAGTGGTAATACGACAACCCCCCCCCCCAAAAAAAACAAACAACAAGTATGAGTATTAGAACATACTTTAACAGTGTTTCATAAAAAATCTTTCTCAGTCCCAGAAACCCCTACCACTATCATCCCCCTCTTCCCCATGCCCAGGACATCTCTCAATAGTACAAACACTTTTATTCTGATACCATCCACCCAACATGCCAAAGCAACAAAGTGTTTTGACCTCTATTTACACCCAAGTCCTACTCTGATGCCATATCTTTACACACATTTCAGAGGAGCATGATGAGTGGGTCAGAGTGAAAAAACCAAATGTCTCAGGTGCCTATAACTGATAACCTACATATTTGATGGCTCTCTACAGACTGCAAAGATTGCACTATTCTGAGGCAGGCGTCTACTGGGCTAACAATAAGGTGCTGACTTAACTGACTTCATCAAAGGGAGGTAATTGTAAGCACTGTCCTTATTATCAAAATCAGCTTTCATTAATATAAATGTTTACATTCATTTGGTGGTAAAGGATGGCCTCTTGTCTTTCATAAAATAAGAAACAACACAAGAGACTCGTACTTCAAATAACGTTAAAATGACTCACCAAATTCCTCAGCCTCTCATTTACAAACTCTGGCGTTGTCTGGGGTACAACAATGGTGCATGGAATACCCAACTGCTTAGACGCATGCGCAGCAGCCATTCCTGCATTGCCCCCTGATGCACAATACACATGCTCACTGTCTCCACGATCTATACCCTTTACGGGGCACAACAAATAATGCACAAAGTTAAATACATTCCCAAATAGGTTAACGCACATATTGTCAAAATTTAATGGGTTTTACTATGACCATTTTTCATCAGTGAAAAAGCAAGACAGTCATTTCTCCCAAAAAAAAGCATGAGATCAGGCTTTGATGGTACTCGATTGCATAACTCTAAATACAAATTTTCTAGACACAAAGTTTTTGCCTTGTACACTGGGGGTTTTTTTATCAACATTTAAAAACTGTTATCATCACTGGATATCAGAAAAAGATAAAAATGTGCGGACAGAAACAACAAACGGCTGTGACGTGAGAGGGCATAACCAGCCACTTGTGTTAAAATTCATCACTGATAAATTACTATTACACACAAGCTAAAAAGAAGATCAATCACAATTTTTAAATACTAAACGATGAAGGTATTCTGACAGAGAACAAAAAGCTGTCTACACGTACCAAAGACAAATAAAAGATGTATTTGAACAGTCAATTAAAACAAATATGACACCGCTCAATGGATACAGGCTGTTCTCATTAAATATCCTTAAAAAGATAAATATTAATGCACAGTTCACATCCATTGCATTTCAGTATTAGCATACACACAAAGCGCATGTCTAAAAAAGAGTTCTCCTTTCTTCTTTTTCTATGTTCCCTTGTTACCAGTTTGAACTGGTAGCTGTGTGTTTTTGCCCGAACAATCAACCGAATTTTCTAGCAAAATAATGTGGTTTAGTAACTTTAGTTTCTGTTTCTCCTGAAACAGGGTGTCCCTCATCATTTAGAGAGTCATAACAAGGTATTTTTCAAGGTTTTCCTAACATTGACTGAAATGTCCGCCATCTGGAATGGATAAATTAACAATAATATTTTGACCAAACAGCCAGCCTGCTCCTCTTTAGTTTTCTCCTGCCAAGATCTGTTAACTTTAACTGATGTATCATGAAAACAGGAAATCATTATCCAAACCACAGAGTGTTTCACCCTGTCCAACCTGAATACAGAGTGGCATGGATGACATGAATATATTCAAAACTCAAAATCACGGATAGTTCGTACAATACACCATTCCCCATTTGAACCTCTATATTTATTTTTACATTGGCAAAACTGAATGGATTTATAGAATATATCCTCTTGCAAAATCCAGTCAAATTTTTCCTCAAAATAGTCTCTAATTCAAATCGCCCTTCGTGCACAGTGGTTAACAGCCTACCCATTATCGTGAGTATCAGGTTATTTGAGCCTACCAGGCTTCTCCCTCCATCCCCCCACCACCCCACAGCATAATGAACACACTGCTGGAATCGAGACACATCATCAATCTACCTGTTGTATGCATATGGTAGTAAGAAATTAAGTTATCGCCGTGCCTGACTGTATTTCTTAGTATTTTCCCATCTTCGTTATCATAAAAATTATTATCATCACTATGACCAGCATTACTATGATAATCGAATCATTATTATAACCAGCAGTAGAAGGCAACAGCAGCACTGGCAGCAAAAACAGCAGTACAAGAAGGGGAAGGAGCATTGGGGGGGGGGGGGGGGGCACAGGAGCAGGATCGAGGAGGAGCAGAAGGGGGATGAGGAGAGTAGGAGCAGCTTAGTAATATAAAAAAACTAGATTGGGTGCTGGTAAATTTGGCAAAACCTTCTGTATCTTGCAGAAAAGACGAGAGGGAAAACTAAAAGCAAAAACAGAATTATACAACTGGCAGAAGAAAAAAAATAGGAAAAAGTAATACCAACAGTACTTCTCTAATTAACATTCAATTCCACTGTTCTACTCTCACCAAAATAGACCCAAACTGCAGACAAGTAGGCGTACCCCCTTTTCTTTGAATACACTATTACTATTAGATTTTTTCAATTCTTGCTCAATCTGTATATCATTACTTACTTTTTGTATCATGTTTGAAATGCCTCTGATTTTAAATGAGCCTGAGGGCTGTAAATTATCCAGCTTCAGATACACTTTAAAGCCAGCATGTTTGGACAAAGGAAAGCTGTACATCACTGGAGTCTCCATGTACAATTTCTCTTTGTTGTCAGTGGCGCAATAATCTGGTTTGGAATCCATTATGCTGAGCTCTGTTTAAACTGAAGACAAGAAAATCAGCGTGGAATGTTGTTGACAAAAATACTCAAATAGTATAGATAACTAATGACATAAAAAATGATTTGATGTTTTAAACTTTAAAAATTCTTTCATAGATATTTCGTCAAATCACGCCCCTCCCCCCTTTTCATATTCCTCTTACAAAAAACAAAAAATAAACAACACAAGAGGTGAAATATTAAGTACAGAGCTGTCTTTTATCTGACTCAAAGACCCTTTCATTTTTATACTTTCTACCTTAAAGCCCGTTCATTTGCAATAATCACTCCAATAAGACTGAAAATGTTTATTTCATGCCTCCTCTAGCAATGTTATTAATAACGTTAGTCTCCGATATCTTATTAAAATTACAAGTACAAGACTTGAGACTGAGGAGACAAAATATCAACAACAGTCAATATAACTATACCTACACTACACTTGCAATGCAAAAACTAACAAAGTACAAAAAGCGGTACAAAAAGGTTTCCAATTAGGGCTAACGCCTAACGTGATTTATTCTTTTGTCTTTGGATAATTTCATTAAAACAATGATATCGAAGATTCTACACTTTAAGTCAATATTATTATTATAATGTCTTCCCTACAAAATGTGGAAAAGACGCGCCTCCAAATGCGAGAGGTAACGCCTTCCGGGTTCTAAGAAAAATGCACCGGTAAACTGACCCTATTTCAAGCTGACCTTTGACCCCTGTCTTTTCCCAAACATAGAGGTAGGTTGCTTTGTGCTTCGAAGGTAGTGCATAATAGATGCAGTGCTTACCTTATTTACAGACAAGTGTCCACAGTGAGTCACAACAATTTCGCCAAAATGGACCAATGCCAATGTCTCCAATAATCTGTATTTTGTGCAATTCCCCACGTCCTCGCTCACCAAAAACAGCAAGCGTGTCGTATTGTAGTAATTGTAGTAATGGTCGGTCTGCTATTGCCAGAGATTTAAGCAAGAGTTAGATCACCGCAAGACAGGAACAGGATTGACTTCTTTTTTTTTGCCTTTGTGAAGGACTTCTTCCTCCTTCCTTTTTTTCTCTTCCTCTTATCCCAATCCATCACGCCTGTTACACTGGTTAATATACACACGAAGTCAATCTAAACATTGCTTTTTGCTGTTTTGGGGGGTTTTGGGGTTTGTCTTTCTTGTTTTCATGTTCCCCCGTGGGTCCGAAAAAGGCCAAATTGACAGCCCCAATAGTTTCAAGAAACGCAACTCTCATTCATGTTATTGACTTCCGTGCTAAACAAATCCGAATCATTCGTCGTTCATTCAGTGTCAAGAAACCAAACTTGCAAGCTTAGCCAAGAGCATCCGCATTTTCTAGCTTTTGCCCTTAGGCCTACATTTAAAATGGGGAAAAAGCAACACCAGAAGGACAAACTGTAAGTAGCTACTTGAATTGTAGCAAATTACCGGTTCGTCCCTTTTATATTGGCATTGCAACATCATTCAGCTCTGGCTCAAAAGTCAGAAGTAGCAGACTGAAACTCTGAACTCATCCATCTCTACTTTTATCTTTCAATTTTCCAGTTGTTTGGAGCATTTAATTCAGACTTTTCTTTTTGTTTAGTGGATCGGGTTCAGGTTCTTTTTTTGGCCCTCTATTCTCACCCGGTGTGTCTTCTTCGTGATAGGCCAACCAGTGTGGCGTTCACCGTAAAAAAACGTTCTAGCATTCTAGCGCTCTTACTCTTGTGTTGAAAGCGTGCAATTTTGTCTGTGACTGTGGGCAGTTCAAATGGGGCTGGAAGAGAGAAAGAGAGAGATGGTGGGGGATAGAGAGAAGTAGCGCGAGAACTTCCAGGCAAAACAAAATGGCGACCCGCTTAGTTCGGCTCGATCTAAAAAGTTAAATAGCCTTAAATAAAGTAGCCTTAGCATCTTTGTAGACAACCAAATTATTTTGTTTTAACATCATTTTTTATGATCTTTGTTTTTGTCAATTTGATCGTCCGCACCAAATAGACAGTATTCAGAAAGAGAGTGCGAGAGAGTAGATCTTGCGAGAACTTCCGGGCAAAACAAAATGGCGACCTGCATAGTTCGGCTCGATTCGAAAAGTGACATAGCCCTAGCATCTTTGTAAACGACCAAATTAGCTTACTTTTGTTGTGCTATAACGTCATTTTTTTTCTTTGCTTTTGTCTACCTGATCATCCACACCGATGGAAGACAATATATAATCCGAAATTAGGAAAAACAGGTCTTGTTTCACACCGGTTGAGAATAGCCAACGCTGGCAAGTCTCACCCAGGGTGAGAGGTCGATTGTATTTTTATTCTCACCTGGGTTGAGGATAGCCACTTCCTTCTTTTTAGTCCGGCTGTATTTCTCGGAATGCTCGGGGAATTAAACTTCAAACTCTATTTCTCCGAACGGTTTCCGTTCATGGAGTGGCCCGTGTGTGTGTGAACGGGGGGAACGGAAGGTGTGGGTGGAGGGGGAGAGCGTAGAGGGGGGGGGGATTTTTTTGTGATTTAGATTTTGCTTTAAGGGTGACTAAATGCAAAATAGGTTACTGCCAAAGTCGAGCAGTCTTGTTTTCTCGCTGTACCTTTTGAAGACATTTTCAAAGGAAGTGGCTATTCTCGCCCTGAGTGAGAAAAATATTGCCAGCGTTGGCTATTCTCTCCCGGTGTGAAACAAGAAGACCTGTTTTTCCACATGCGACTACACGCAGGGCATAAACCGGGCTACAATTGGCTGAACCTGTAACCCATGAATACATTAAATAGCCTTACGCAACGGTACTCTGGGAAATCCCGGTTTCAATCTCGCGCCTTTGACCGTCTTCTCCCAGTGGGTTGGAGCGCTCATGGAAGACTTAAAGATAAAGAAGAAGGAAAATTGAGGAGGAGGATGTGTAGATGGAGTAGTAGAAATGAAAAGAAGAAGAATGAGGAGGAGGAAGGAGGGGGAAGAAGAAGAAGCAGGAGGAGGTGGAGGGGCATGAGGAATTAGATGAGGAGGAGGAGAACAAGAAAAAGATGAAGAAATAAAAGAAGAAGAAGAATCTTGTAGTACAAATTGGGGAATTTTTTGTTTGTTACCCTACCTTAGGAAAGAGGGGGAGAGGGGGGGGGGGGCAGAAAGCGATACAGAGGGAGGGTGATGAGAGTGACAGGGAGGGTGTCGTCAAGAGCTTCAAAAGTGGCCTGATGCCGTAGGCCTACTCAAATGTATTCATGGGTCAAAGGTTCAGCCAATCGTAGCCCGGTTTACGCCCTGCTTGTAGTCGCATGTGTTTTTCGTAATTTCTGAATACTGTTTATGGGTGTGGATAATCAAATTGACAAAAACCAAAAAAAATGATGTTATAGCGCAAAAGTAAGCTAATTTGGTCATCTACAAAGATGCTATATATACAGCTATTTCAATTTTCGTATCGAGCTGAACTACGCCGGTCGCCATTTTGTTTTGCTTGAAGTTCTAACTACTTCTCCCTCTCTCTCTCTCTCTCTCTCTCTCTCTCTCTTCTTTCTCTCTCTCTCTCTCTCTCTCTCTCTCTCTCTCTCTCTCTCTCTCTCTCTCTCTCTCTCTCTCTCTCTCTCTCCCCCCCCCTCCTCTCTCACTCCCTCTCTTTCTCTCACTGCCCGCAGACAAGATTGCTCTCTTTCAACACAAGAGCACTGCAACGTTTGTTTACACTGGTATCACGGTGAACACACACCGGGTGAGAATAAAGGTGGCCTTTTCAAATGAAGTACAATGTATAGTCCGGAAATGGTGCCCCAACTATAATTGAAGCATCTGAATATTCAGACAACTAAAAATTTCTTGCTCTTGAAATTGAATTCGATGCCAAAAAAAATGCTTCTTCCCACTCCTCGCAGAATGGCAGAATGAAAAGTGATACCGAACTCTCGCAAATAACCAACAAAACTCGAGAACGAAAACCGATCAGAGAAATAGAGTTCAAGTTTATTATCCCAAGTGTTCGGAGAAATAGTCACTTCGGTTTTTTTTTACTCATGCACACGTCTCATGTACACGTTTTATATAGATCTTTACTGTTTTTCTAGTAGTATTTTGCATGTTAAACATGGCCTTCATTTTTGCCGCAAATCAATAGTTATTGAGTTATTGATGTTTAGAACAGAACTGGGGCCAGTGGCGTAGTAATATTTGACTTGTTTTTAACAGCATGGGGGGTTTCAGGGGGGAGTGCTAAAAAGAATCTGGGGGGTTTCAGGGGGGCATGCCCCCCTGCATTTCACAATGATTTGATGTTTTGGCAATATTAGGATTGATATACTTGAAAACAATTGATTTGCAAGGGTTTTAGTGGCCATACGTGTGTTTTGCAGCAAAAATTATAGCAGTTTAGCCCTCAAATCAGTGCATCTGTGTGTGGGTGCATTAGTGTTCCGAGCTGTATATTAGGAATTCTTTCACTTTTCCTTCAGTCTCACACACTTAGCTACTATGTAACCGAGCCTAGATCTAGTCTCAGTAGCTCTAGGGAATCTGGTTTTGGCCCCAACAATAACTAGCTATCTAGATCTAGATCTATATCATTACAATGGAGTGTGGGTTTTGGCTTCACCGACAATCACTTCTGGTTCTTAACGATTACTTTATGACTTTGGTGCCGATATGATGTTTTACGCTCAACGAGCAAGAGATATAGTTCACAAGCGGATAATTAGAGAACGACAACTAAACGCCATCCACCAATTTTTATAGTAACAGCCATCTTGTTTGACCTTGCAAGGGGGATGCCCGCCGCCAGGTCACATGATCATGATTATAAAAATACTGATGATTTTGCGAATCGAAAGCGCACGATTTTCACTGGCACTTTTGGGTTCCCCTTACTCCCTTCCCTCTTTGAGTCTTTCCTATAATGTGGTTCCCCCTAGTATACTGCATTTACACCTCACAGTATCCATTTGCAAACCTTGCAGTCTCGAATTAGATCTCAATTTGCAGCTCAGTGTCCTATTAAGCCCAGTCTCTTGTAAGTGCTTAATTTCTTGTGCTTACAAAATTTTAAAAGAAACGATCCAGATCGAAACGGTAGATCATTTGCACTGCGTCGTTGAACTTGCTTTCGTACGTAGGCCTACTCTTAGTCTTCTTCTTCTTCTCAATTTACGTAGTGTAAAGCATCAGAATCAATCTGGGCAGAAGAAAGGTGCTCCACAATCACAGACAACCGAGCATAACAGTTCTGCAAATTTCAAAGAAAATAGATCAAATTCGAGTCGGCAGGCTGCCGGCATGCTGTCGTGTTGCCACCATGAATGACAACAAAGTGGGAATCCCTCAATTACGTCAAACAAGATGGCTGTTACTATAAATATCGGCCAATGGCGTTATAGTTGTCGTTCTCAAATTATCATCATATCAGTCCTGATTGCTTGCAGTTGCAGAACATTAAATTATTGTTAAATTCAGTGGGCTTGCCCCCCCCCCCCCCCCCCCCCCAAAAAGCCCCTTTGTTGAAAACAGCAATGCCAATGAAAAATTAAATTTTCGCTTTAGCCCTTTTTAATTTGGTACCTAAGAAAATTCACCCGCAAATGGGGACCAAAATTTCGCCCACGCGGAAGCTTGATTGGCATTGCTGTTTTCAACAACCGTTTAGTTGAAGGTCTGTTTGTTTTGTATGAGTTTTACAGCGCTCGCAACTGCATAAGGTCGTATGAGCGCGCAAAACACAAGTTGGTTGTATTCGCAACAGTTCACTTTACGGGGCTGGGCTTGAGTCAATAATTAGATTTTAAAATGTTAAAATATTTAAATTTTGTGTAAATATATTTTCAATCTAAAACAACTTTCCTAAATAACATAAAAATTTTACAGGGTAATTTCCCATAAAGGCCAATGGCCTTCATAAAATCTAAAATTCTGATGGGAACAACGACGGAAAACTGATCTTGCAATTTTTTGCATCTAAAATATTTCCTTCGGGTCTCTTCGAAGTCTAGACATTCGGTTAAAATGTGTCTAATGGTAAAATTTGTGTCGCATCCGACACAGAACGGCTTCTCATCTCCCTGAAGGAGGTATTTATGTGTCAGGGCCGGTGTCCAATGCGTAATTGAGTAAAAATGACTTCGTCTCTTCTGTAGAGGCCCGAAGGATTTCGCGGTCCCAGTTTGGGTTTAATGCTGTGAAGTTTATTGTTTGTTTGTTTTTTCCAATGGGTCTCCCACAGACTGGAGGTGTACTTTTTTTACTTGATTTTTTAAAGTCTGTCGGTGGGAGTTGAAGGTCAACCAGTTTATACTGGCTCTGGACTTGTTATGAGGATCAGTGTACATTTCCCTTTACATACAGGCTTGGAAGTGACATTGGCCATATTTAAACTGTTTGGTGATTGCAGTTTGTTGGAGAGGGAAGGGGGAGGGGAGGTTCAGGGGGAAGGTTATGTGTGGGAGGAAGGACTGGTTGCTATTGGGAAGTGAGATGCGGTTGTTTTTATAGATGATTGTCTTGGAACAGTGGCCTTTAGAGCAGGTTAGACTCCATTTGTATGAAATGACTTGATCTGCTATTTTCCTATTTTATGAACTATTTACTCACTGATTCAATTAATCACAGGACTTCAGTCAGCTGAATCTCTCAGCATGGTTTGGGATTATGAGAAGGAAAAATCATGTCCTTGCTAAAGTTCTAAATGAACTTAAGGGAATTTACAGATTGAAAAATGTTGAAGCCTTTTAACATATTTCTTACTACACACGAGGTTCCCCTTGCTCACAATTCATCCAGAGCTTCCGCCACTCAAGGATATAATTTGATTTGAAGTGATAAACTATAGTTGCCTTCTTCTATCACAGTGGTTTTCCTGGCAGAAATAACATGGGAGGAGCACCATGACCATGCTTACAGTATAAGAGGTAGATCTAGACCTGTGAGAAGGCCAGATGGTTGTATAAATAGTGGTGGTTGTTCATTTGCGTGGTTAGTATAGACAAAGAATTAAAACAGTCCAGAGAGAAGAAGCTGATCATTCTAAAATTTATTGAGACGGAGGAGACCACTCCTGGCAAATGTATTTCTTTGAAAAAGGATCACACTTTATAACTGGGATTGTAACAGAATTTGTTTCTTTTTTTATCTCTGTATCTTTAAGAGAGAAGGTATTATAACAATATTAAACTCTTGGATGATGTGCATGTGTATTACAAAGTATTTGACATTGAATAGACTGAAATGAAAGTTACAGCCTTGAGAATTTCCTGGTTTGGACCAATTTTGGGGGTCTGAAGACATCACCTTCTGATTAGGCTCTAGAGGAGTCGACTGAGGAAGGGAATAGTTAGTTGTGTGTATTTTAAGTCAACATATTGCATCTCTGCTCATACTCAAACTTATTTCACAGGAAATTATAAACTTTATTGATGTTTTTATCTGTTTGATAAATTTTATTTTTTTACCTATTTTTCTCCAGATATCTGACTAATTCAGAGTGGAAATATGAATGGGGTGGCTACAAAGGAACTCAAAATACTGGGGAGAACTCAAAGTTCCGCAGACTGCCATTTCATTGCTGCAGGTAAAGATAAATGCCATCGCTGTTACTGTAAGTCCAGAGTGAATGCTATTTATGTATAAATCCTTCCAACCCTTTACTTTCACCCTCTCTCTGCCCTTTGCCATTACTGTTCCTTTGTGCAGTAGAGGCCTTCATCAGTTGTGAATGATCTTGAATGTGCATTCATTATTTAAGCTGCCTTGTTGGTGTTATTCTGGGATGACATCCTCTGTGGCTTTGGAGACCAGCTCTGAGAACAGCAGTCTCTCTTGCAAAGGCCACTTTTCAACAATTTTTGTAGTCTTTCAACTTTAGTGCACCTTTTTATGCATACCTGCTTCCTCTTAATATTCAGCACTTCTCTTAACTCAACTGGAGGTGCTCTTTCCTCATGTCTCTCCATCTTGTCCAGTCAGCAGTAATGTCCCCTTCCAGGGCACAGTGTTGATACTGACTGCTTTAAGGCCTCTCTTACAGATGTCCTTGTATTGAAATATGAGTGGCCAATAGTTATTCTTACAGTTGTCCGTTTCCCCGCAGAGAATGTTATCTGGAATGGGGCCATCTCCCATATATATATTCGATGTGTCATAGCCAGTGCAGTCTCTGCTGTCTGAACACATTGATGTTATGCCTGGGAATTGGTCTATTGAGGACAAACTGTTGCCTGGTACTTATTGTTTTTCAAAAGGCACCTTGCCACACAAATTCAGTTAACATATTACTATGTTCATTCTTTACTATGGTTCAGAGTTATGAAACCAGAAACTGTTGTAAAATTAAAAGAATAGAAATGAAATATTAGGATATTCAGTCAAATTCTATTACATTAAAGGAAGAACTATCACAGTTTTAGAACTGAGGAAAACAGTTTTATGAAGTACATGCATAAAAAGTCCCTTGCCCAGCATAATTTAGAAAGATTGTTAAGTTATTGTTGCTCTACGATAGAACAAAATACTGTAAGGTGGCATTGTGATTTTATGAGAGTTGTTGACTTTGTTAGACCTAATGTCCCTTTCTCTCTTTGCAGCATCTCCTTGCAGCCTTTTGAAAATCCACTATGCACGAAAGAAGGGGTCATATTTGACTTGATGTAAGTACATGTTAGACAATTATTAGATACTTTTTTTTTCATAAGTTTTGTATTTTTATATCTTTGTTATCTTTCGCTTTTTATTTGTTCAGTTTAGTTATGTGGTGTGTGGCTTAGACAAACAGTTTGGTAAAGTGTGGGAAATGTAGTTGGCTGGAATGCCAAAATGGATATATCTTCAAATGTCTGCAGTGGATGTGTGTAGCAAAGATATTCCAGTGCTCAGCTTCCAAGGCAGATTGTTGGTTGGGACTTAAATGTTGTAATTTTGATAAAACCTGAACTCAAGTTTAAATGATGTAAATTAAATAACATTTTCTATTGTTCATCTTTGTGGGGGTTTTGTTAATAATATCAACATGTCTAACTTAATTTAGTTAAGTTTTTGCAAATGTCTTAATTTGAATTAGCTTGTTGCATTAATCCATTTTACATTATTCTTACACTATTTACTGGTATCGTCACATGATGCCAATAGTGTCTTAGCATCCTGCCACGGACACTGTGGTTTTGATCAGGTGCCTTTTATTATGACAATTTTTCTGTGTCCGTTTGCTATTATAAATTACAGGTATTCAGTCAGGCCAAATGGTAATTGTGTGTCAAATAACTTTTTGAAACCGGAAGTTTACTTACACAGACCAAACTGACACAAGCTCCTATTGATTCTGTTTTGGTGGACAAAGTATAGAAGTCTGGGTTATGAATGTCTTACTCCTTCATAGACACAATTTAGATCATTAAGGAGGCAGCCTGCTTCAACCCTGCTTATTGGAGCTGACCTGGGCTGGGAGGAATATAGAATCATAAAAAAAGATGGAAATACTCTATAGAATCAACTTCAGTGCAGTAGAATCACATCTTCTTTGAGCTTGGTGAAGAGATTATCATTACCCCGTCGCCCCCCCCCAACCTTAATGGCCTTTAGAATTATGTAGAGAAATTTATACAAAAATCAAATTATTTAGTCTACTATTCTAAAATGTGCTGATTTCCTTGCAGATTTCCTTTAGATTAAGTTGTTGGAAGATGTTTTGCTTTACCTTGTTTGTTTTTTTGCTAAATTTGTTTGTTTTTTAAACTGATTTTAACAGGAATATTGTCCCATTCCTGAGGAAGTATGGAGTCAATCCTGCAAATGGAGAGGTTGGTGGATGAGTTCATTATTGTACAATCGAACCTGCCTTAGCGGTTATGTCTCCATAGCGGTCACGTCACCTGTACTAGCGGCCACTGTTCTCTGACACCCTTGCCATTTTCCTATAATTTTTACCTGTGAAAAGCAGTTCCTGTCCAACATAACCACTGCTAGTCATTTTAGCAATAATTCCACCTCAAAACCTGCACACAGCAGTCACTTGCTACAAGAATGTTCCACCAACTCATCCTCAGACTGAGCGTGTATGTTCAATTAATGCAAAGAAGCTCATATGATAGATAACAATTTTGATGGAAATAAAGTGGAAGACGAAATGAAGATTTCAGATTTTAAGCAATTAATTGACTTATTTGCATTAAATAAGTGGCCGTTAGTCTTACCCTGTCCATAGTGGACTGGCCTATAATTGTCCTTTTACTCTGTTATCTTGAGTGACTTTTACGGGCAGGTTCGACTGCATCTTTTCTTAAACGGAATCTGTTTTGTTATTTAGTTGGGAGGGGGCTATTGACAGCTGTGTTGAAGTTCTTGTCATAAGATTATCGCTGCCTGTTTGTTAATTGTTGTTTTTGATGGATTTTCTTGGACTTGGATGTGGAAGAAAACCTCAATCAAGATTTGATATAAAACCAAATACTGATGGAGACAAAATGATACAGATTTCTACTCTTAAATTTGTTCATACTTTCATTGCAGTAACAGTAGTATTGTATCCTTTCTAAAGCTCTGTGATTGGGATGTACGGCTGGCTGGAAGGCACCACTGGTAGGTTGTACTTCTTCTCTGTTGTTGCTGTCATTCTATCTTGCTTTTTTCCTGCACTGAATAAGCATTTTTGTGCTGAGGTGCTTCTGTTTACTCAAACTGAAGCTGGTTGCCATTTGAAGAACTGTTTTCATTAAAATTAATGTTTGTCGATTATTTTGTGATATTTTATTCCTCTCAATGTCCAGAAAATGACGGCCAAGGACCTGGTCAAGTTGACATTCCACAAGAACTCTGATGGAAAGTACCACTGTCCAGTCACGTTCAAGGTCTTCAACGAGAACTCTCACATTGTGGCAATTGGTCCCAGCGGAAATGTCTTCGCTTATGATGTACGACTGCTAGTGAATTTAGTGTTATCTGGGGGTTTTTATTTCATCACTTTAATTTTTTCCTGTTCTTCATTAGTGATTTACACTTTTGAATGCCTTTAATCTTTACTTTTGAAGTGGTAAATAATTCTTTTCACATAATAAATGAATGCGGAGATTTTATTCCTGAATGTGACAAATACTTATCTTACTTGTTTAAAGAACACATCTATTCTTTGTCTCAAGGTATCTGTTCACACACAAAAAAATGTTTTATGCTTTTAATGAATGATAGAACTGCTGATGTTTTAAACTTAAGTAACATGTTTAAGGCTAGTGGTGCAAATGCGTTTAGCCGTGAAGAGTACTTTTTTAAAGAATAATAATCTGTCTCTCTATACTATCAGATTTGTTTTCCAATTTAGTTTGGGTAAAGACAAATACTTCAGTGTGATAACAGAAATTTAGTTTCAAGGAAATGTGAGAAGGAAAATATAGAGGGGAAAAAAGAAACTGTGTAGCTCATAAATCAAATATGTTAGAAAGTTAGTTTTATAAATGGTTCCTCTTATGTGTATGTTTGCACAGGCTGTAGAACGCTTGAACATCAAACCTGCTTACTGGAAAGATCTCCTTACAGATGAACCATTTGTTCGCAAAGATATCATCACCATACAGGTCTGTTCTTTGAATGCTTTGAAAATTTTAAACTCTATTTTTTATACATGTATAGATTCCAATTAATTACTGCAGGATATGACTCACATTGCATCATTGTGTGTTCATCTTCAGCCAAAAAAGAAATTTTCAGTCCGTCTTTCTACCTGCCCTCCTTTTTCAGTGTTCAGTTTCATTTTTCCTTATTTGTATAATTTATTCATTTTACTCTCATCAAACTTGATTTCCTCTTCCCTTCTAATCTGTCTATCAGCTCCATTTACTGTCTGTCTGTCTTTCTGTCTGTATGTCCATGTCTCTCTGTCTCTCTGTCTCTCTGTCTCTCTCTCTCTCTGTCTCTCTCTCTCACACACACACACACACACACACACACACACACACACACACACACACACACGCACACTCGAGGTACATGATGACTCTCACTCCTTTCAGTCATCCTTTTGTCCTAAATTTTTCTGACATACTACTGCTAATTACCCCCCAACCCCACCCCGCTAAAAACAATGTTTTTTTCCTTACTTTTTTAATGATTGTAGCTCATAGAATCATGCCATCAGTATCAGTCCATTGAGTATCATTCTGGGCTATGATGTGGTTGACACAGGTTTGAGTCTCAAATGTGGCTTTTTGAGCATATATGTCGTTCTCTAGAGTTTTCCAAGGCTCTTTATCTACTTAGATGTTGAATTCAGAGGTCTTGCCTTTTACTAGGTAGCGTAAACACGGCCTCGCGGGCACTCGCGGCCTTCCGACCGCATGGTATCGGTAAAATCGGGGTGATTCCGATCGCTGTTTCTTTGCTCTTTCGCTATAAAACACCAAATGCCGTACACCTTGTAAAAGTTCCGCTTTTCCTCGTTACAATGGTGTAAGTTGTTTATATGTCTGATTAGTAGGAGCTGGAGAATCGTCGACGAAAGCGAAGCGCCTCGCGGTCAGAATGCGTGGTCGGCCGGTTGAAAAATTGACAGGCGTGCATTCAAATGCTTCGCGGAACGAGGGATGATTAAATACCGTCTTTTCATTGGCAGAGAACTGTAGAGCTTTAAACGGGCTTTCCCGTGATATAAGTTTAGTCTTTGGCGTCTTTATAGAAAGCTTTTAAAAATACCGTCAAAATGTTTAAAGATCACTTTTTACACAAAATATGTAAAATACCGGCTTATAAAAAGTATTAATTAAAAGATCAGTTCATATCTTATTAGAATAAAGTGATTAAATTGGAATTATTTTACATCAATCCTTCCGCGAGACTCAGAAAGCATGTGACCCCGCATCCGTGGTACACTATAGTAGGCCTATAGAGCCGACTCGCTCGCCGCGGGGCCCGGTGCAACGCCGGCCGGGTCAACGCTCTGTGTTTTTGTCGAAATAACGACAGATCATCGTGTTTGAGGCAATAAAATACTGATTTGTAAAGATCTCACATGCACAGTCTTGAAAAAAAATATGCTCCATATATTTGTTATAGTGATTGTACTCTGTTAATGTGGAGATGTTTAGTGGACTTGTTACTTTTTTATTGTCTGTCAAACATGGGGTTGCAGCCAGTGACTGACTTTAACAAATTTGATCAAATTTTAAACAACTACAATTTTCTGAAAAATTGACGGAGAGGTTAAAGAATGGTACCAAAATGCTCAGTGAATATAGGCCTTTCAAATGGAACAGATAAATTTGGCATACAGCTAGTTTGAAAATTTAGTTTCTGGTACCTACTTTTACAGAAATTCATGGAACTGAAACGGGAGTAAACTCGTACCATACCCTTCCATGCTTCAAGCTCAAAGCATGAATTTTTGAATAAACAGTGATAACAAAAAAAGTGTTTTGAGATCAAATGTGATGTTTTTCATTTGATTTCATCTAAACTACAGAAATACTTTTTATTTTGCTTGATCACATTGTGTGTATTATTTGCTTGTGTTCAGGATCCCACTAACCTGGATAAGTTCAACATGCAGTCCTTCTATCACATCAAAAAGAACCTGAAACTAGTTGATGAAGGTTGGTAGAACTTGTTATATATTGTTCATGCTTGATATAATTTTGTGTTCTAACTCATGTCTGTTATATTGTTTGAAAAGCTTTTCCCTAAAAGTTACACAGTCTCTTTCAACTTGAACTCGGCAAAATCCTGTGGAGAGGTTAAGTACAGCCAATGCCTCAGGCACCTAAAGCATTTTTGAGCGGGTATGGGGGTGAAAATTTGAATGTTAGGGGTCCTCAAGATCACAAGGATCACAGACAACAGATAAACAATCTCAATTCTACATTGACTACTCAAGACAAAAACTTGCCATCTAATAGCATTCTTGTACCAGGCTTTTAGGTATGGATGCTCTCAACCTAGTAAGTACACCAAAACATTGACCCTAACCAGCACCTTAATTTACTTAATCCTGTGAGGTTTTCCCGAAAATGTAACCAGAAACCGGTCATTTGGCACTTATGTAAGGGCCCACTAGTAACCATAAATATCATTCAATTGCTTTGAAATTTGGCACAAAGTCAACCTAAAATGGATCTTTAGACAAACCAGGTTTGAAGTATGTAGCTGTAGTAGTTTTGCTTTGGGTTGTTGTACAAATTTGACATTCTCATCATCATCATCAATGGCTTTCACCCCTGGCAGGGTACAGGCCAAATACAAGCTCCTTCCATTTATCTCTATCCTGAGCCATCCTTCCAAGCTCGTTCCAAGTGAGCGTCATCTCTCTCATGTCCCTTTCCACGCATCTCCTCCATGTTTCCCGTGGCCTAGCCCTGCCTTGTGCTCCTTGTGGGTTCCACTGCAGTGACTGTCTTTTTGGCGTTTTGGGGGCTTATATTTTTTTTAAATCGCCGAATGAGCAAGAGCAAGCCTATATTATATATTCAAATATGCTTGTGAGTGTCTAGTTCTATATATTATTGTATGTCATGTATAATGAAGACTGTTGAATACTTTCATAAATTGAGAGGCTCTCGTGGCCTAGAGGTTAAGGTGTTGGCCTCTCATTCAAAGGTCCCGGGTTCGAATCCGGGTAGTGACAGAAAAATTTTCTTCTCTAAATTTGTCTCCTTTCACCTCATTTCCTGCTCTCTAGCAATGTTCTGTCGTCTGCTTTCGTCTCCTCTTTCTGCCCCCACCCCCTCACCTCCTTTGCCCCTTCCTCTTGCCTCCTGATTCTTTCTGCTGCCTTTCTACTGCTACTCTTTCGCTTCTTCTTACTGCTGTCTTTCAGCCACACCCCTGATTTTCTGGTAGGAAAGGTCTACACCTAGCCTTCTCGGACAAGGGCGAAAAATCTCAGAGGGCCCGTGTGCAAGTTGCGCACGCTAAAGATCCCTTGGTTGTCTAAAATCGATAAGAGTAGGCTTCGGCCGCCACCCGGGCAAAATTCAAAATTTACTACCAACTGAAAATATTAGGTGTGTCCCGCGCACTCATATGACCTTATGCAGTTGCGAGCGCCGTAAAACACTTTACAAAAACCAAAAAATTCATTAATTTAAAAAAGTATGTGTGAGAAAGGCAGAGAGAATCGATTGCGAGACATGCTCAGCTGATCAGTGTGAAAAAACGTGCTGAAAATGCCTTCATAAAAAGCACGATTTCTTTGTGTGTAATGACGGTAGAAACAAAATTCCAGCACACCTCTTGGCAGAATTGGGCGGGGAAATAATGAATTGACCTTATTTAAAGCTTGAGGCCATTTTCCTAAGCGAAATAACTAGTATACGGAACAAAAACTGTAGAACCGAGTTATCTCGGTTGTGGGATTGAACGCAGCCAGCGAGCTGACCGAAATATCTCAGGCACGGAATTGAGTTAGTTAAGCTAATTGGCAAGTGAAGAGAGATGAAAAAGAAGGATGGAGCAGCAAAGCCTATGTATGCAGAGACTGAAGATGGCGTATCAAAGTGCAGAACATCTTTCCTTTTCTTGAACTCATTGTGACTGGCACTTTCTGACATATGTTGACCTAATTAACAACCTGTGCCATCATCCTTAAGTATAAAATGTTGATTAATACAGTGCAAACACTTCCAGCTGGGATTAATGGAACAGTGCCTAGTGCCACAAAAGAGGGTTCAATCAAGAAATAGAATAGCTTGCTATGTTTCATTTAGCTTAGTCTTTTATTTTTCTTGTTGGTATTATGTGCTAATTTGTGCCTTCTTATTAATCTAGAGTTTCCCTGTTACATGCGGGCACTCAAACAAGATATTGTCTGCTGTCATCTGCAATGTAATGATTAGTTTTTTCTTTATTGCAAGCAGAAGACATGAGATTATTTTATGGAGTATGTCCCTCTTTTTATTGGGAGCTGCATCTCACTCTGCTCAGGTTGGCTGTGACAGGTAGGGTGGAAACACTTTACCTCCTCAGTGGCCTTATTTGTGGCAGTTGGAGTCTAAAAGATTAACTTACTTTACTTACTTTACTTTATTTGTCCTCTTGTACCTCTAGGCGTCAAGGGGGAAAAGAGCTTTAAAAGGGTCAGCAATCACTAAAATCAAGGTGATGCTGTTGTTTGATACATCATGTTTTTCTTATTTTTCTTTCCTTTTTTTAGATGAAGAGGAAGCGAAGAAAGACCCAAAGCACAATCTGAAGTCCATAAATTTTGAGACAAAATCAGCTTTGGAGGAGCTGGACAGAGAGTACAAGCCCTCCCCATATCTGGTTGGTCTTTGTGTTGATGAACTCTGTGTAGTCGCTAAAACGAAAGACTTATCAGAGGACACATATTCATCCTCCTCATAAAACAACATAAGATTTCCCACATGATCGAATCCACTTGTATTCAATTACCAGACAAATGTCATAGCAAGTTTTCAGATGGTAGGGTGGAGGTGGTACTGAAACAATGATGCTTAAGAGATTTATCACCTAAGGTTTTCTGGTCGTGTGTCAGTTGGTGGCAAGATATTTTTCTGCTGATTTTCCTAGGCCACATCACATGTTAAACCTTCATTCTACGGGGACCAGACATGATAGAGAGTATAATACTAGACAGGTCAACTCGGCCGTCAAGAAAAACCTTTACAGTCCACTTTATGGCACATGACTGAAAGGCCATACCTGTGCTTTGTCATATCAGTAACAGAGGACTACATAAATCAAATAGTACACTTTTATGCCCACTCCATGTTTATGGTCATGGAGTGGTTGGCTGTCTACTTTCAATCATTATTCTAACATTATGTTGAGGGGGGGTGTTCTGTTTTCTTTGTTTTAATTGCTATTTTTATATTGTTTTTGTTATAGTGTTCATATAAAATTTGATCTTACAGAGTGTCATTTTCATCTCCACAGGGTGGGAAAGAAGATGAGCAAAAAAGAGCAGACAAGTTCAATGCAGTAAGTGAATCACTGAAAGTTGATCAACTAATCAAAATGAGTCTGCTAAATCTGTTCTATATTTGTTAGTTGAGGCTGCAAGTGCATAGGCATTAAACTCATACATTTTCATACTGAGCTTGAATCTTGTGCAGACCTTGTGCTGTTAAGGACTACAGAGGTGAGCAGAGTAAGCCTGATTCCCCATTTAGACTTCTCTGTTGAAATCCACCCCTTGGCCCTCATATGACCTTATGCAGTTGTGAGCGCCGTAAAACCTTACTAAAACTAACTGCCCCATCCCCTCCCCTATTTAATCCTTTTTGTTGTAGTAAAATGGAAGTGTTAAATTGGTCAGATTTTGGTATACCTTTCTCAAAAAACTTGTAATGAGTACACAGCTGTGTCATGCCACTCAACTTTGCAGTTGACTAGATTTTCAGGCTCACTATTCCACTTTGCATTATAATCTAATTTCAGGCTAACTACTCCACTGGCAAAGTTGCTGCTTCCTTCACATCGACTGCCATGGACAGGCACACTGAATTTGTAGCAGGTAGGTCAGCTCCCATGCTTTTTGAATCGTCGCACCCTTGACATGAATTCAATGAAAATTAAACATGATAATCAGGTACCTGAAACTGAATTTTCAAAGTGGCTGTATGACAAATGTTTCTGTTCCATGTGGAAAGCCTATGTCTTCTGGGAATTTTGGTAATTCTTTTTACGTTTCAGTTAATTTTTAAGAAAGCGGCAACCATTTCACGGCGATGCAAATCTTCCCCGCATCTGAGGAATTCCAGGTTTTTTTAGCCTTCTGAGGAAATTTCTCCGCCACTTGGCATCCTCCCGAGTCGCACGAAAGTCGGGGTGCTGAAGTAAATAAAAATCTAATTCGACAAGCGTAAATTCTTAATTTCGCGAAGCGATCATCGTCATCTCACGTGCTGCGTTGAAGTCGAGCGTGGCAATGTTTTGATTTCATTTGTTTTCGATTTGGATGGCTTGCTTTATTCTCGATTCTCATTTATTTGCATGCTGTTTCCACACTCGTCTCATACAGACTTCTTCCTCCCCAAATTGGTCGTGGCACTGACGATTTTCATTCTTTTTCACTTTTTGTCATTAGCATCACTGATATCAGTATAATCAAAATATTGCGGAAATCACTTATTGGCTTCAACCCCATGTTGACATAATAAAATATACTTGGCGTAAAAAAAACCCAGACACCCCTTTTTTAGTGTTTTTTGTATTGAAAGACTGATTTTAACCAGAAACAATCTCTCTATAAGGAAAGTTTGAACATTTTACAAATCAATTACACATAAAACAATTTTTTTTAATGAACTTTGTTTCCTGAAATTTGATCTTTTAATTGTATGCCCTAAAATGAGAAGTCACAGTTAATACTGCGTATAGCCGCCGTGGGCATTGGCGACTTCTGTGCACCTCTGCCTCATGCTTCGCACAAGTCTTTGTATGGGATGCTGTGGAATGTTGTTCCATATGTTTGTAAGTGCTGTACATAGCTGATCCAAGGTGACCGGCTGAGGTCTTAGGCGTCGGCGCACTTATGGTTCTCCGTCCCTTCCACTCCCTGGCTGTCTTGGTAGCAGGCCGGAAGCGATCTCGTAGGTGCAAGACTCGAATGTACCGGTCATGGGCTGGTGTCGTAGCTCTAGGACGACCCGTCCGGGGACCATCCTGCACGGATCCAGACATCTGCAAACGATTCATTAGTCGATATATCGTGTCTCTTGTCACATTGAAGATGCTTGCAACATTCGCTACCGGCGTATTGGCCCTCAGCATACCAACTGCCTGATTGCGCTCTTCGAGTTCGTTAAACGCGACATGCTGTATCTTTAGATTTAGATGTTTTGAAATGAAACTTTTAACGTTTTATTCTTGGCTACAGATAAAAGATGTGTTAAACCCATAAAATAAAATTAGAAAACCAAAATTGTTCGAGAAAAATGACAAAACTCTGTTTATAACAAAACAAGACTTGAGCTTTATTAACTGGGCACCTGATCATAAATGCAGGCTGATCAGGAGCGTCAAGTGTTCACAATCACGTGTGGAAAATTTCAGCTAAATCGGTTTTCAACTTTTCATGAAACACGCAATTAAAATGTGCCTGGTTTTTATTGACGCTAAGTATAGTATCAAGTGCACAGAATATCTGCACATTAACAGTACAGAAGATAATTACAATAAGCTAGATATGGAGCCTAATTTTGTTTCAAGACTGATAAGATCACTTCAAATCAGTGTTTGATTTGCCCCAAAAATGTGGAACTGTCATTATTTTGTTAAAACTCGGAACCCTGTCCCAGCCGGCATAACATCAGCATCCAGCCAAATAGTTTAGCTCAGTGCTGTAGTGTACTGACCGCTCTGTGTGTAAGGGTCATATACTTTCTGATTTTAAAAAAATTATCCCAAGCCAAAGAGTTTAATCCAAAAGAAAATGAACTGATCTTTCTATAAGTGCCTTTTTTAAGCTTGTAATGTATATTTCTTGTTAAAAATTTTCTTTGAAAACCTTGTGGCTATTTTAAAATGTTTTCTATTTTATTAAACTCTCAAAGGCTAAAAATGTTCTGCCGGATACGGAATTCAAAGTTCTATAGTTCTCTGCTAATGAAAAGATGATGTTTTTTATTTATCAATCTTTCCTCAAAGATTATGCAATGTGCTTATGCTACCTAAACATTTCCTTATGTATCTGTTCCCCGCAGATCTGATTGAGGAAGATGTTCTCCGGTACGAGCGGGTCAAGAAAAAGGGATATGTTCGGCTCATCACAAACCTGGGACCCCTCAGTCTGGAGCTCTACTGTGACATGGTTAGTCAGTTGTGACAGTGCACTACTAGTACTTCTCATCAGAAGGCAACGAGGGGGTTAATATACGCTATAAAACAGATGGAAAGTCAAAACTAAACTAAGAAATAAATGAATGAAAATTGAATATGGTAATTTTGGAGAGATGCCCTTTTTTTTTTTAGGTTTGTCAAGTACTATCAGGGTCAGATCCACACCATTAGTAGGTCCCTCATTTTCATAATCACTTGAGCAAGCAATGTTGTTACCGGCTGTCAAAAATGTTGGATGTCAGAATAATATTTGAAAGCCCTGTCAACACTTTCCCCAAGCTCCAATCCCTGACTGAAATGCTACAAAAATGCTTTTTTCTTCCACTCCTGACAACTTAATCAGACCAGAAGATTAAGTTTCTTTCCCCCAGTAGCATAAATTTTAATAATTAAACTCAATCTGATACCTACAAATTTTTTTGTATGATGCACAAAAGGCCTGTTTTCCTTTATATATGACTGATCACTGCCTGCATAGCAATATAATTTTAATGGAGTGTTATCATTATCAGTCAATAAAGTAGTTTGTGGATGAGTATCCTACAATTTCTGTTCTGTTTTGCCCCTGTAGGTACCAAAGACCTGTGAGAATTTCCTCAAGCATTGCCTCAACGGTTACTACAACAACACAATCTTCCACAGGTCAATACGCAATTTCATGGTAAGTACACTGATTGATTTTATACCTTTTGTAAGGGAGGGAGGTGCAACTGGCAGGTTTTGTTTATTTTACAGTAGTCTCCGCCTAAACGCCCGGCGCCCTGGAGGGCTTCTTAACGTGTGTTTATATGGAGCATTCGTTTACATGAACCTGTGAAAAGGGAAGAAGAGATGCAATCATCTCTTTTCGTTGATATTCTAGTGACTTCCCTTGGGGGGGGGGTGTTACTTTGGCCGATAATATGACGACACTTGACTGTTTTGTGGAGGATTCCCCAACTGCGGTTATGTGATCACAAAGGTGTTGAACGGGTGTGTGCGTGTGTGGAAGGGGGGGGGTTTGGAAAGACAGACTCAGTGTGATGATATGTACCATCAACTGTCAGGAACAGTTAGCCTAAGAAGAAACTGTTGGTGATAGTCAAAGGGACGACCGCTCAGCCACGTGGTTTTCCAAGCCCCGACTGTAAATTCATGGATGGCAGTTGCGAGCGCCGTAAAACCTTATACTACTACTACATGGATGGCGTCAGAATCGTAGACATTCCAAAAGACTTTTTTCTTATGATTCGTTGAATAAGTAAGTTATAAGTTCTTCGAGCGCAGCTGATTAGGCCTACTTGACTAATCTTTAATACGACAGAGGCCTATCTAGTGTTCTACAGCATTCATGCTTGTTGCGCATCATATTCATAGGCTTTGGTCTAACTACATTTGTAATTGCTTCAATCTCCCAAACACCAGTCAGAAACCTTCTCTCAAACTCCAAGATGCATTTCGAATGATCAATCAAAAAACATTTCAGTCCCCCCAACCCCCTCCAACATTTTCACCCATCCAGTCCTAGATTTATGTGTCCATGGAAAGTCAGGTGTGAAAGCGTTGTCCGTCACTCTCTTTGCTCTGCGTAAGGGGCAGTCTCACCGAAATAATGTTGTCTAGGCTTGTCTTGTAGCGAAAATTACTCCTAGTCAAACTTTGCCTGTTGGCATGTTTCGTTGATCGAAGCGTGCGTTTAGAGAGAGAGGCCGTACGTTTGTACGTCTAAATCTTTTTTATATATGTATATATATATGGTAAAAAACCTGTCGTATTACGAAAGCGTGTGTTTGAGCGGAGCGTGCTTTTGTTTGGGGTGCGTTAAGGCGGAGACTACTCAACTATCTTGCTTTGTTTGTCTGTCATACTTTTTCTCTACCCCAAATGACCTTTTTCATTATGTCAATGTGCTTCTCTTTCATTTTTTTTTTTTTGGGGGGGGGGGTAAGCATGTTGCTTTGTTTTGTGTTAAGTCCATATTTTAGTATTAGCATCAATAATACAGTATACGGGTGGTTCGTTGAGTTCCCTGGTCCTGCTTCTTCTCCTTTTCAAATTTGATTTACCACCTCCAAAGTGTCCTTCATAAACTTAATCCTATTGTAATCCCATTTGCATTTTCTTCCACAGATACAGGGAGGTGACCCAGAGGGTACAGGAACAGGTAAGTTGATGCAGACATGTAATACTAGTAATAGTGATAGGGTCTTCTTTGTGATGTGTATCATTCCAGTTTTCTTCTCATTTTTTTCTTTAAGCACCTTTAGTTTGTAGGCTTAATACTATTTTAATACTGTTGCAAGTGATGTGCTCAGGATACTCCTTCCTCGGAAGTGTTTCTGCACATGACTATGTAATGTCATACCAATGAGAGTTTATTTTTGCAGGTAATGAGAGAGTGCCACTGGTAGGTCCTTCTTTTCTTTCCCTTTGTTGTTTCTATCTGCCTTACTTTTTCCCAGCCCTAAACTACCATTATTTTGTCCTTGGGGTTTTATGCGCCCCGCATAATTTAGCAAATTTTGATCATTTTTTGCATAATTTCTTATTATTTTCCTTTATCATTCTTTGTTAAAATTAACAGAATCGCATAATTTCACATTTTTGGGCTCAGTTCGCATAATTCAGAATTTCTTTTGCATAAAACCACGGGGACAGGTTATTGTACCATGTTTCTGTTTACTCAAACAAAACAACAAAGAGTTTATCCCTGTCCCCAGGAGGTACTTCTATCTGGGGCACCCCTTTCAAAGATGAGCTCAAACCGAACCTGACACACACAGGGCGTGGCGTGCTTAGTATGGCCAACAGTGGACCCAACACCAACAAGTCACAATTGTGAGTTTGAATATTTTACCACTTTTTTTTGTAAGACTTTTTTCAATAAAGTGTAAGGTATTTTGTTAAGACAGGATCTGTGAATTATCATCTACCTCCTACAGAATTATTGCTCTTGCCATTGTAACCCAAAAATTGCCATGATTATACTAGAGTGAGACCAACTTCAACTTGTCGTGTGCTTTGAAATATCCTTCAGAAGCAGTATATACGCGCTCGCATGATATGATAGGTGTAAGTCCCCTTTACACTTCATAAGAATATTTAAGTTTAGGAAGAGATGGGATCTCAAACCTATCATCAGTCAGCTGTAAAAATGCACCAAACCAAATTTTTTTTGGGCAGTTTCTGTATCATGTGTTGTACCTGTTGCATGTGCTTAAAGTCGAAGTTCAAATTCTAGATGTTGAAAAAAAAAAATGAAAAATGCATTATAATGCAGGTATGATTGTTAAAAGAATGAAACCGTTTTTTATCTCCCTTACAATGTTGCTTTCTGGGCTTAATACATTTCAACAGCTTGCTGACGATAAAATGTCCATCTGCATAGTGCTCCACCAAATGGTTGAAGAGCCTTAATAATAGTTACACTAACAGTCACTGTGCTAGAACACCCCAGTGAAAATTCAGACCAGGGTCATCCATACTGTAGAACAGTGTGTTGACAAGCGCAAATTCGAAAGCAGTATTTCCTCCTTGGTGACACTCATACTGCTCATCAGACCCATAAGGGGCAGAGAAAGCAGCACAAATAAGTGACAAACTTCAGTGCTGCTGATATTATGTATGCTAAATACTAGAGTACTTTGACTTGGACCCTGTTTAGAATTATTTATAGGAGTCAGAAAAAAATGCTATTTTCATGTTTGCTGCCAATATATACAGTACTGTGGAGTCCACTTATACATATAACGAGTCCTGAAATAACGAGAAGTCTGTTATAAAGACACTATTATAAAACCCTGTTTTTTCCCTTCTTTATCTTTCTAAATAAAATACTGCTATTGCACAATCAGACAAACACACGAGTCGGTTATAACGAAATATTGCTACTGCTGTGCACAGCGCACAGACAAATTACACATATTATATCCTCGCCAGTTGAGAAAGTTGTTGGTGATAGCGAAACAAAGAATGACAGAGCCCACGTGAACCAACAATGAAGGTTGGGGCGAATGAGTGGGGAGGGTGTGGCATGCGCAGACAAGCAGAACGCATCGTGTGATAGGCCAGCCTAGTCTAGATTATCTATGCCTACGATGTGGGGATGGAGAGGTCACAGTGCTATGGTTGATGAAGCGAATGTGTGACGTGCGCAAGCAGACGGAACGCAGCTCAGGGTGTTGTGGGGTGGGGGACAACACAGCGGGTGTGTTAGCCTAGAGCCAGAGCCCTTTCTTTCTGCAACCCAACGCCGAGCTGTCATCGTTGCTAGCGCTAGAGAAAGAAACCTGATTCGATTTTTGATCAAGTAAGACCTAGAGGTCATGTTGAACAAAATCATCAGAGGAGGAGGTATAAAAAGGAAAAAACAGAACTTTAGCCTCATAGATTATGCCTACTTTATTATTTTCCTTGAATTTATTACTGGATCCCTTATAATGAGAATCCTGCTATAACGGACATTTCACACCAGTCCCCTCCCTCTCGTTATAACAGGATTCTACTGTTGTACGCGTAATAGTGGTGGTGGTGGTGGTAGTAGTAGTGGTGATGGTTGTAGTTGTTGTAGTGAACAGTAGTAGTTGCATGATGGTAGTAATAGTTGTAGTGAGTAATGGTTGAAAGTTGTACACAGCGTCACTTTTCGCCCGATTCTGTTACTTTTAGGGAGCATGACTCAGCAGCCCGCCGGAGCTCCCCGACTCGGGGTCACGGGGTTAATGAGCCCTGAAGCGACTTTGTCGCTGTCGATCAGGAAGTTCGCATTTTTGACTATGTTTAAAACAATATAACTTCTTCCCCATCCCACATAGCAAACCATTACGCGGATGTACTAAAAGCTCAATGTTTTGAGATTTTTTCTGCGTTAGAATAGTTAATTTCTATGCCTTAGATTTTGTTCAAGACAGGTGTTTGTAGAGTACCCAATTTGTCCTATTTTAGTTACAAACTTATGAATAAATGATTGTTAATTTTAAAAAGGCACGACAGATCTCTCCAAAATCTGTGTTAAACTGACTACGAATATCATGTCTTTTACCATGAGAAATCTTAAATCTGCGCGAGTAGTAATAGTCAAGTTATAAGAGAAGAAAGATGCACATCTGCATTTTTTAACTAAAGACGATCAGCGTTAGCTCTTATTTTACTATTAAACAAGAGAAAGTTACTCTGTGGTTGTTCATGAATCATGCTGTGTCTCTGGCAGCCTGCATACAACTAAAAAGATATAATATAAGCGATTAAAAAAAACTACAAAACCGTGTAAATACATGGGTAGAGATAAACTTCTTGTATGGAATAAAAATAATGACAGTTAACACATTCATTCTTAGTTTTTGTGTAGGAAATATGCGCGGACACAATTATGAATGTAAAGAAATCAGTCACATTGTCAGTTATTGCAAATGGTCATAGAAACAAAAAACAAAGCTGGAAAAGTCTGGTGCTGATTCAGTGTCCCTGGAAAGCTAGAAATTATTCTTATAACCCATTTACGAGAAGTCATCCCTGTTATTCAGTCAACTTACAAAACCTAGACTTAGCGTTTTAAGAAAAGTAAGGAATTTCTGGAGTGTAACAGATACTGTTCGTGTATTAGATCAACTTTGAAGATGTATTCTAGCACTAAAATCGATTTGTACTTTTCATAGAGAAACTTCATGGTAACTTTTATAAACTTTAGAGAAAATTTGCGAATATTCACGATTATATTACTATTAGACACATAAAGTTGTATTTGGAGGAATTACTTCATAGTGAATTGTGTGCCCGATGGATAAAGTATCATAAAGTTGCAAAATTACAGCTTTCTATTATATGCGCAGATACCATCTTTTCTGAGTATCTGCACCAATGCTATGTTGTTCATGTTCCAAAAGTTCGACAGATTTTGAGGAGGCCTTTTTTTTATTATATATTGATTTTTTTTTCATTCACGCTAGTCAAAAAAAAATTACAATTTAGCATTGCCGACTCCAGCACGTCTAACGAAATAACCGGCAGACAAGTTACAACGTCCGTTCTTTTTTGAGTCTCAAGAGCAGAAATGCGTGCTTTGGGTGCACTAAATAAGAATTACCATAAATACAAGGATACACCTTAAATTGTACGGTGAAAAGTACCAAAAATTAAGTCGGCCCAGACAGAGCGGCGACAGGGAGCTGACCCCCATTGCCCTCGACGTGATAAGGCGCCCGGCGGGGAACGCCCCGCGGCAATTAAAATTCGACTGCCGGTGCGCCGTGTGTATCATGTAGCAGCAAGAGTGTAGTTGTAGAAGTAGTAGTACAGTCCGTGCCGGCTTTAAGTTTAAGCACGGTCATCAGGAAAAAGCATAACGAGAGGGAGGGGACCGGTGCCAAATGTCCGTTATATCAAGGTTCTCGTTATAAGGGATCCAGTAATAAATTCAAGGGAAATAGTAAAGTAGGCCTAGTCTATGAGTCTGGTTTTCGGTTTATTTCTTTTAGCAATCTCCCCTAATGATGATTTGGTTCAACATGACCTTTAACTTTAAGTTTAAGTCTTACTTGATCAAAAGTCGAATCGGGTTTCTTTCTCAAATGCTAGTGATATTGACAGCTCGACGTTGGCGATCAGAAAGAAAGTTCTCAAGGCTAACTCGCCCGCTGTGTTGTCCCCCACCCCACCACACCCTGTGGTGCGTTCCGTTTGCTTGCACACAATGGGAACATACCACACCCAGCCCATGTCACACATTCGCTCTGTCCATCACTGTACAACGCTATGACCTCTCCATCCCCGCATCGGAGAAGTGAAAGACATGGTAGGCCAAGATAATCTAGAGTAGGCAGGCCTATCACGCAATGCGTTCTGCTTGTCTGTGCATGCCACATTCTCCCCACTCATTCGCTCTGGCCTTCATTATTGGCACACGTGGACTCTCCCATTCTTTGTTTTGCAAGATCACCAACAAGTTTCTCAACTGGCGAGGTTTTACATGAATAAATGTCCTATGCGCTGTGCACAGCAGCAGCAATATTCCGCTATAACCGACTCGTGTGTTTGTCTGATTGTGCTATAGCAGTATTTTATTTGCAAAGATAAAGAAGGGAAAAAAACGGGGTTTTAGAAAAGTGTCCTAATAGCAGACTTCTCGTTAATTCAGGACTCGTAATAAGTGGATTTCACTGTACCGAAGCATGCTTGAGTGCAAAGTAGACATTGTCATAATCTGGAGATTTTTATGTTGAAAATTTCCTGAGGTATTACCCTTTGTTTGTAAGTAGTGGTCACACAAAGGTGTGCCTGTCATTTTTACCCGCCATTGTAGTTTTTGTTTGTTTCTTTCATTTTGTGGTCAAATGGGAAAGGAAAACTTAATTTAGACGGCCAGTCACGATACAGCCCACAAGGCCTACTCAGTGCCTGTGCATACCACTGCCCACTGTGCCACATTCATAGCACTGCCTTCATCCCACTTCGCGCATGAAACATTATCAGGATTAGCGGATAGCGAAGGGCAAAGGTGAATTCGCAGCTAGCCTCCCTTTCTGGTCTCTCCGACTGTATTTTTTTCGCCTGTGTGTAGCTTTGCCCGTAGGCTAGATCCTATGTCCATGCGTGCGGCTGTGTGCATCTCCCTGCCTTCTTCTCCGTGCGCGCGTGTGTGCCTCCATCACTTGCGTTCTTTGTGTTTCTTTTAACACGCTCACTACTACGGTGTAGATTATGTTTGAACTTCGATGGGTCATCACGAAAGTACAGTAGAAAACAACTCCAACGGCACCCGCTATAGGGACCTTACTGGAATCCCCTTTTTTTTTCTCTATGTTAACTCAATTACCTGTGCTCGGGTTTAGCGGGGCAAAGAAAGGCTTGAACTCGGATACAGCGGGAGAGATCGAGCGAGCTCCAGCTGGGGGGGTGGGGGGCTGTAGGTTGGCTCCAAACAGGCAGTCAGCAGTGCGGCGTTGTGAATGTCAATGGCCAGTTCAGTGATGAGTGAGGTGGGGCAGGCGGCTGAGAGAGATGGTGCGGAGAGACATGTTGCGTGAGTCACTACAAAAGTGACGTGCCGTTGCTCTAAAACGGTCAGTATGAGAGGGTATAGGCCATAGCCCTAGGCCAGGCCAAAAAGTATAAGAAGACGAGAGCGTGTTGTGTGTGATTCCTGATTCATTGAATTGCAATCGTTGATGCTCATAGGCATACACACGCATCCACTTCACCTGTTCTACTGTTGCTCTTCCGGGAATAGACAGCACAAGCAACGAAACCGAGGAAAAGATGGCTTCCAACAATGACAAAAGGAAATGATTCTCTCTGGAATTAAAAGCTGAGATAATCAACAAAGTTGACCAGAAAAGGGAGACTAATCAAAAGCGCAAATTTTATTGATAAATGGAAGGGAGGTGGGTATTCATGTGGATTTTTAGAAGTTTTTCGGTAATTTCCCAGCGTGATTTTTCTTCTGGAACAAAATGTCCCGCTATAGCCATGTTCTACTGTATTGACTGTCTTGTAAATGAAGCGCGCCTGAAGCCGAAGTTACCGTGCTTAAAGGCGTGTAATTTAGCAAAAATTCAGTAAGAGCCGTTTAGCTTGCTCGAGTCCGAAACGTGCTTTATGCCGGCGTGTTTAAAGCCGGCACAGACTGTAGTAGCAGCAGCAGCATCAGCAGAAGCAAGAAGTCGTAACAAAGCAGAGTACGGTACACCATGTGAATTTGAGTTTGAGTCTACATTTTGTGTTCGGTGATTATGGGGGGGGGGGGGGGGGGGGGGGATATCTGAATCACTAAATATAAAAAATTTGAGAACATTAAATTTCCGTAAAGTTTGCCGAAATCACCAGATCTTCTTTGTTTTAGCTGGATATTTTGGTTTAGAGAGGCTGCTCAAAATCAAATAGAAGAGAAAAAGATGGTGATTTTCCTTACTGCTGTTTTCGAATTGACCATGTTTGGTTTAAGCAGACTTCACTGTTATTCCAATCTAAAGTGTGCACTCTACACAGGCCTACTACATTCCCAAAATGTCTATTCTCTTATTGTAAAATATCCATTGCTAACATTTTCTATATATATGGTCGCTTCTAAGCACAAGGGGGGCTGTTTTGAGAAAATCGATATTAAAGTTTTTGGATCCTTATTCAGTTTCTTAAAAAAGACAAGGAGAGTTTTCTCTCGAACCAGACAAAATATACACACCAATGGAACCAAACTTCTCCTATGGGTAGTGTAATGCCCACTTTTGGTGTAGGTCAAGATTTCTGGAAACCCCCAAAATGTGGGTTAGCCCGCTTGTCCTTAAAAGCGACCATATAGCTGTACAGTGGAATCCTGTTATAACGAGAGGGAGGGGACCGGTACGAAATGTCCGTTATAGCAGGATTCTCGTTGTAAGGGATCCAGTAATAAATTCAAAGGAAATAATAAAGCAGGCCTAATCTATGAGTTTGATGTTCTGTTTATTTCTTTTTGTTATCTCCTCCAATGATGGCTTTGTTCAACATGACCTACTCTAGGTCTAACTTGATCAAAAATTGAATCAGGTTTCTTACTCTAGCGTTAGCGATGTTGACAGCTCGGCGTTGGCTATCAGAACGAAAGTTCTCTAGGGTAACTCGTCCGCTGTGTTTTCCCCCCACCCCACCACACCCTGTGGTGCGTTCCCGCGTCTGCTTGCGCACGTCACACATTCGCTCCATGATCCATCACAGCACTGTGACCTCTCCATCCCCGCATCGGAGAAGTGAGAGGCATGATAGAATACCTAGGCCTAGATAATCTAGACTAGGCTGGCCTATCACTATCAGGCAGTGCGTTCTGCTTCACAACGGTGTGTCTGCGCGTGCCACACTCTCCCCACTCATTCACTCCGGCCTTCATCGTTGGCACACATGGGCACTCCCTTTCTTTGTTTCGCTTGATAACCAACAAGTTTCTCAACTGGCGAGGTTTTGCTTGAATAAATGGCCTATGCACTGTGCACAGCAGCAGCTATATTCCGCTATAACCGACTCGCGCGTTTATGTTTATGTGATTGCGTAATAGCAGTATTTTATTTACAAAGATAAAGAAGGGAAAAAACGGGGTTTTAGAATGATGTCTTTATAACAGACTTCTCGTTGTTTCAGGACTCATTATAAGTGGACTCCACTGTATTAAAATTCTTACAAGCGTCTTTGGTGTAGCGACTGGGCTTTGTGCTATTAATTGCATGCAAAAAAAGATGATGTGAGTTCAATTCTTTTCCGCAATATGAAGTCTGCAGTCTGTATTTCAGTTTTAAATCTGGGATACTGTGGTGACTGTGTATCTCTCTTTATCCTGATATCGAGGCTTACAGCAGCTTACCTCTTGATTGGTCTAAACTGTGTCAGTGGAGGCTTAAAACATGAATTATAAATTACAGTTTACAGCCAATCATTATTGTCAATCCTTTTGCTCTGTACATTTTTCCTCTGATTCAGTGGTAGTAGGCTAAAACAGCACCTGGACATGGATGGCTGGTGCCTCTATAAATAAATCATTGATGGTCAGTGGTGGTTTGATTCTGTTTTTGGAAATCAGATTCGCTCTCTACAATTTAAGTTTAATTAAGATACTTAATTAAAATTGTTTTTATCCCTTCCTCCCTCCCCAGTTTCATTACTTTCAGGTCATGTCGTCATTTGGATGGGAAGCATGCAGTGTTTGGAAAGTGAGTCATTTCATCACAATAAAACTGAATAACAAGCAGTTGCCTTTGCAAATGTGACCCATAGGGACATAGCCTAATGGTTAACTCTTTCGTTGCCAGGGGGTCGGCTTTCCAACTGTCAGCACTGACTTTCATCTAAGTTTGTTAACATGGAAAGCAGTCTCATGCCTCAGTGTTGGTGGACTCATTGGGCGAAAACATAGAGAACGCCAATTTCAGAGACTGACTCAGTAAGCGCCGATAGGTATAAAAATTCCCTTATGATTTCCAACTTGCCCCACTTAGAGCTGGCAGACTGCAGGTGGCTTTAAGCTCGGATCGGTGTTGTCGGCTTTCATTCTTATTACGTCGAAAAACTGGAAGGGGCGTCTCGCTGTCAACTCGCGACCTCAGTGCTTTCTTGTCCTATCTCCATCTTTTAACAGTGAAAATGTTACTTCTTCTTAAGCTCACTCTTTGTTGTGAACTGCTTTAACTGTTATTAAAAATGAAGATGCGACAAGAAAGGACTGAGGTCGCGAACTCTCAATGCCGTCTCGCTGTCGCCAACTCGGGTTGAGCGGTTTGCGTGACGTCACCCAACAGGACTGGGGACAATTTTAAATGGCCATTTCAGAGCTGGTGCTTTACGATAGACAAAAACTAATTACATTTTTTAAATCAGCGTTGTCAAATTAGGGTGGCACCAGAGCAGAATTACATTTTAAGCAATATTTTAGGAATTTCTAGTTTTTTTATCCCCAAATAAATGCTTCATAAGTACCAGCTTTGTTGTGGTGTAATTTTTTTCTTATATATCTAGATCTAGGTCTTGGCCTTAGGCGGCCTCTATGTGGAGTCAAGCAAACACCTATTGGCGCCTGTCCGCGTCAATCTTCAGCCGCTTAAGTTTAGGCGTTCTCTAGGTTTTCGCCCATTGTCTAGACCTAGCCCAGTCATGACATAAATTGGACTACATGTAGGCCTATTTGGACTGAGGGTCTTTGATAGTGTAATTTTCTTCATTCTCTATCATAAGAAAATTACACTATCAAAGACCCTCAGTCCAAAATTTATGGATAGAAAAGCATGTGCAGTGCTTCAAACCATAGCACACAGTTATTGTAAAAAGCGATGTGCCAAAAAAACAAATCAGTGGAGTTTTAGGGTAACTTTAGGTGGTTAAAAAGGATGGATGTAAGCCTATAGTTACTGTATAAATAGTATGGTACATGAAACAATTGTTCAAACCATCTTAAAGAACCTTATTCACCCCCCCCCATAGAGTGGTTGGAGGTCTCAAAACTCTTGATGCTCTGGAAGCTGTGGAAACAGACAAGAAGGACAAACCAAAGGTAAGTAACAGCTTCCCTTGTTGAGCCAGCAGGGGTGCTCTGTTGCATTTAACACTTTCCGTTATGATTGCTCTGTAAATAAATTTGCCATTTCACTTGAATTGTTAACCCTTCATCTTGAACACATAGGCTACGAAGAACAGGCTTTGATTTTTAAAATACACAAAAAATCAGGTAGACTCACTTTGTACAAAGTTAAAAGGTCCTGATGAAGACACCCAATGACAATGATGCTGAACATGTGCTACACATTTATTTATATATACATTTCAAAAGTCTTCTTTCATCCGTTGTTCCATTGAGAGCAGGGGGTGGGGATAGGGGACTTCAATCTTTGGCATTACTTCCTGGAGCGCTCCAAAAGATTGGGTTGTCAAACCCTGCGTATCCGTCAGTCTTTAGAGAAGCATTAGTTTGTTTCACAGGGTTCATAGACATGAACTAAACACTAAAAATAGTGATTGAGCTCAGTTCAGGGCTGTGCACTTTCCTCTCCAGTGAAATATCCAGATCATTTTGCATGAAAAGAAAAGGTCACAAAGGCTTTTTTCCCACACTGCACCTTCTGCTTCGTCCACACAGACAGATGCTTCTGGAAGTATTTCAAGCACTTTGTTTTCTTCTTGAGTCTCTCCCACAAAACAAAGAACAAGATCTGATAAATTGTATTCCTTTTTCAGATGAAAGCATTAAAGTCTGGTTAACTTTAAGGCTCAATACAAAGTGGGTTAGTTTGAAGGTTGACAGAGTTGAAGATTCTCATTGCGTGATGATCTGTATTGGTTGCCCCCTTCCTGTTAGAGACTTAATGACTTCCGCTGCCGATGATGGAAATGAGGTTGCCCCGTCAGCCACGCCCTCTTTGGATTCGTCAATCACATGAGACACGTAATAGGTGTTACCGCCTATCCCACCGTCACCATCTTCCTGTCTCTTCTCCAACATTTTCACCTCCATTTCCAATTTCTTATTCTCCAGTTCCAGTTTTCTTGTCTCCAGCTCCAGTTTCCGATTCTGGAGAAGTATTCGCCTTCGTTTCAAGTTTTCCAAGCTGTTTTCAGATCGAAGATCACTTGCGGTTAAGACACGTTTCGTTGCGTTCCCAATTAGCCGAGCAACTGGTGTGTTGCCCGAAGTTGTTGCTTTGCTTGAATTAGATCCTGAGCCAATACCTCCTCCTCCTCCATCTGGTGCATCTTCGTCATCGTCAAATATTTGACTGCCAATGCTCGCTATGGAAAAAAAAGAAAGAAAATTATAATATAGCCATAGCTTAGTTTTAGATGGTATACTGGTAGTTGAAACAGAAAAACCGTGCATTGTTTACATGGGAAGAGACACTTCTGATAACTTATAGAAAAGGCTCTCATTACAATATCTTAACCCTATCCGTATGTCGTGTTTCACTATGGTATCCATACGACATGGGTAACTCTGTGCCATCACTTTCCAAAGAGGAAATTTACTCGTTAATCCGATCCGCACGCTTTGCATAGCAGCCTGTCAAAATGATTTTTTGAGATATACTGATAGTTTCAAGAAGATCTTCGTACTTGAAGTATTCTAAAATGTGAAGAATAGGCCTACAACCCTGGGGTACAAAATGACCCCAGGGCGTACGGATAGGGTTAACACATTCTCAGCTGGCTGTAATTTTATTAAGACTATAGTGTACATACTGTTGACAAGCACAATTTTGTGTTATTATGGAACTAAAGCAATAAAAGTTTTAAAGCAACTTTTATGACAACATGTGTGAGACGTGTTGACATAATGAGTTACATACCACAAATGGAGATATTGGCCAAATATCGACATTGGGGTCAAATTTGTAGATTTTCTATTGATGCCATATTCTTTAAGTATGACATCCTCTTTGTTATTTCATACTTATAAATTATAAAAAGTTCACCTATAACTACTATAACGGCCTGATGTGTCTATTTCCATAGGGCTCCAAACCGAGAAGTAACTCACATTTTGTCGGCACGCTTCACATATTGTGTTTGCATGAAGGATCACCTCAACAAAAAAGAATGTCATTCTTAATCCTCATGCTATTTTCATTATTCCCATTAAATTTCAACAAGATGAATGGTTATTTGATTCCATAATCAATTAAATACAATTGATCAAATCTTGTGTGCTATCTCAGAATACGAGTTTGGACCCCTTCCTATTCTAGTAGTAACATACATTTACCTGGTATTTGCCTTCTCTTCAACCAAAATGAAGAGATAAAGTCTTACTTGTAGAAAATATCATTAAAAACTAAAACCTATAATTAATCCTTAGAATTTGCATCCGCAAAAAATGCAATCAATAATGTGAGAAAGAAAATATAGAGTACAAAAGTTAAAGTATGACCTTTAAAATGTGATGAAGGTAATTGAAAACAGCAAGGAGGGATTGAACCATGCTTTCTTTTTATTTTTTTATTCTAGATCTAACTGTATCTCTGCACTGGAATCAGTAAGGGAACTGAATCTGAGAGCAAACTTATTCTGAAAGCATTTAACAGTAAAATATAATATTGGGCCTACGGTGTAGAGGTAATTTTCCAACCGTCTAAGAATACCCTATTATATAACCATCACTCTTTAAAATCATGTGGCGACTGCCACAGTGAAGGGTCAATGTCAAGGCTAGGTCCATGTTCTTCGTCATCTGCTTCCTCTTTATAAACTTACTCTCCACATCAACCATCTGGCCATTCTCGCCTTCCTCCATTTTGGTTAGCATGTATCGAGATGTGTTCACCCTCGCCATCCGGAACATTTGGTGGCGCGGTGTTTTGGTCTCATCCCTGGCCTCAAGGGGATGATTATGTTTTTCAAAGAGTTCATAAACTACCAAATGATGCAGGTCCTCTGCCAGCCTTAGAAGGATGCGCATGGGGCAACCACGCCGCTTGGATCTGTAAGAAGGCAAAATACCCAATAATAAATTATTTCATTGGACTCGTGATAACAAAATAGATGGGGGCAATTGGTGAGGCATGACAAAAGCCTTTTGGAAGTACTCTCAAGCAGGGATGCAGAAGCTTTTTTATTATAAAATGAAATCTATTATGAATTTTATTTCAAGAGGACAGGTAGCCTACAGTAATGCAAATTATCCACCATAACTTGGAAATGTAATTTTTCCTCAACTTGTGGGCAGCAAAAGAATACCAGTATATCAATATGTTCTGTGTTTGAAAAGAAAAATGAATTTGGTGGAATATACTAGGAGGGAATTCACCCTATCTAATACGGAACCTGCTCAACCCGCAAACAGAAAAAAAGAAATTCCTTCCCTTCGGCAGGTTTTGACCTGTCAAAGACAGAAAATACTTTGCCTACTGAACCCTAGATTAAAATAAAACTCATTGTTCCACTGGCTCTAATCTTTATGTTATGCCATGCAGCCAGAAGAGGAAGGTGGGGAATGGGTGCGGTTTGGGGGTAGCTGTTATTGGCCCTGAGGGATGCAAATGGTCCAGGTTGTGTATGTGTGTGAAATCTCATAGCTGCTAATCCTCAGCGTGTTCGAGTGGCACGCCAACACTAACTTTGATTTCTGCATCACACCAATTTCGCTATGTGAATGTGCATGCTAAAAATGTATCAATGGGGATACTGCATTCTCCAAAATTAAAACATATTTAGCTTCTTTGAACCCCTCCTCTTCATGTGTTAACCTTTACAGCCCCAATCATGTATATTTTTCTCGTTCTTGTTCCCTCAGGCCTAGTCACGCACATTTCCCTCAGAAATTGCTACCCTCCTCAAACTGGGTCGCATATATTTTATCGTCTACTCAACTGCCTCTGAAAAATATTCTATGTCGACCAAAAGTAGAAATGCCAAGAAAAACATATTGTATTGCACATATGCAGTCAGTATCTGCTTGGCTTGGGGAGTGAAGGACCCCAGTATTACCTGGGCCAGAGGGAAGTGCTGTGAGGGTTAAAAACAAACCTAATGTGTAAATTCAAAAGTTTTTGACAACTTACACATGATTTGGTTTGACCTTTCCTCTCGCCTTGTACTCCCCATGGTACTCGCAAGCGTATGACAGGCGGTAGTAAATAATGTCCTTATTCACAACATCCATCAGTCTTGGCATCGTCTTGGCTATGCGACCCAAAAGCTTTGAGTCTTTCACAATTAGCTGCACACTGTTCTCCCTCTGGTACCGATCTATGGCATCTTTTAAGCTCTCGAAAGAGGAGAACTTCTCTCCCAGTGCGATGTCAGGCATGTTTGCTGCAACAGTAAGAAAATGTGTTTCCTTTATTCAAATCGTACTTCACTTTCTCATCCAGATCCGTGACCTTTACATTTAAATTTTTTATTTTTTTATTCAAAAACTCCACATAATAGTAATACAGTGGGTGTTGCATTCAACAAGGTCACATTCAACTTCGGTCTGTTTACAACCTCGTTGGAGCTGACGTACATTTACAAAGAGATATAGAGGAAAAAATCGGGGATTAAGGAAAGCATTGCCTCGTTGGAGCCGACTTCTCGTTGAATGTGACCTTGTTGAATGCAACACCCATTGTATTATAATTTGTGTTAGTTGCCCTACAGAGCATGCGGAAAAAAAAGTAAATGTTCACCCTTGAATTGGTTTAATTAAAACCTAGAGGCCTAGAAGTAGATTTCTATAGAGGTGCTCAGGAAAGGAGTAATTGTGTGATTTTCTTTTTCTTAATATATTCATATATAATAGACTTATATAAAATATGGTTGTGAGTGAGCCTGTAGCCTTCTACTTTTGAGTTTCAAGTACTTGTTCGGATAAAGTTTCAGAGACAAAATAGGGAAGGAAATGAAAAGAACAATCATTAAAAGAAGCAGTGTTCATATTAAAATTTTCACTTTTTTCGGTAAATTTTTACTTTTGCTTCCACACAGATGCACTGCTTTGGGGGTCAAACTGCAGCATTAATTGTTCGCTGCAGATCATACATCATAAAGCCACTAAAACTGTCGCAAATCAATTATTTTCATCAAAATTTGAAACTGTAAATTATCAAATTATGAATAAAAACTGTAACCCCAGATTTTCTTTTACCCCAGGGGGTAGGCCCCCCCTGACATCAACCCCCCGATTGGTCCAAAGTGCGCAAATTACTTCGCGGTTAGGCATGTGCGATATAAATATAGCTCGATTTTATTAAGAACAATAAAATATTTCAAAAGCTATTATAATATAATTTGCGACGGAAATGAAGTTGATATTCGTGTTCAGCGCTGATATATATAGATCTATATATATAGATCTAGATCTATTCTAGAGTAGAAAATGGAAAACTGTAGCTAAGTGAGAGACGGGAGGGAAAGTAAATGAAAAACTTTTATTTTTGAAAACGTCTTATAAATGGTATAGTAATAGTCTAAGTATAGTTTAGAGAGCCTGGGGTAAATTTTTACTTTCACTCCCGCACACAGATGCACTGTTTCAGGGGTCAAACTGCTGTACTGTTTGCTGCAGATCACACATAAAGCCACTAAAACTGTCGCAAATCAATTATTTTCAAGACAATTTCAAATCTAACTGTAAATTATCAAATTATGGGTAAAAATAGGTGGGCATGCCCCCCTGTAACCCCCCAGATTTTCTTTTACCCCAGTGGAGCAGGCCCCCCTGGAACCTCCCGATTGGTCCAAAGCATGTCTATCTCGGTTAAAAACATTCAAATATTTCAAAAACTATTAATTTGCGACGGAAATGAAGTTGATATTCGTGTTCAGCGCATCAATATTTAGATCTAGATCTAGATCTAGTAGACAATAGACAACTGGTAGCTGAGTGTGAGACGGGAGGGAAAGTAAAAAAATACCGAGCCTGGTATTGCGTAACTGGATCTAGATCTAATTAAACTTATATTAATTTATAAAATATAGATATATTCTAGGCCTACAATAACAAACAATAACAATTAAATTTATAATAAAACAAGTAGATTCTAGAGAGCTTCTAATAAGCTAAATCCAGCTGGACACAAGAATTCTAACTAAGGCAAGGCGTGTGAAAAGATGAGAAGATAAAGGGAACGGTATTGAATTGTCCCTAATGCATCAACGTTATGTGTGGGTTCGAATTGTTTTGGGTGAGTTTTCTGTTGCTTCGTTACTTTTACTTATTTATTATGATTGTGTTGAATCCCCTTCCCAGTTCGGCAACTTTTTGAGGGTGTAATTCGGTCATCGAAGACACTTACGGTGATGTCGGACCTTGTTCTATTTTTAGGCGCGTGACCGTAAAGCAGATCAATCTTTGCACACAGTTCTGCCAAAATAAGTCATTTGAAACAGGATACACTAGATTATTTTAAACAAATATACTTTAATTATTTTTTGGTTACATAAAACACTGAGCTGCACTTACCTTTAGCCAAATTCAGGATCTTCCAACTATCCGGAAAATGTCGGACGGAATGTTGGATACTGGATTGTTGGTTGTGGGCCAAGGGAAGCAACCCTCAATGCTGTGAAACTCTGATTCGTTCAGGATAAGTTTCGCCGTTTAAAAAAAAAAAAGAAAGAAAGAATGCGTACTGGTATTCCTTCACTTTTCCAGTAGCCAAGTTACGCACACCTGTTGTTTAAAAAATTAAATACACTTTGTGCATCTCGAGTACGTTCAGAATCCAGACAGATCATCTTAATAATGAATTGAATGTTATTTGTACGGAGCCCTCCCATTCAGGCCAACCAGCTTGTAACATTTTAGTGCCTTGAAGAGTCTAGGGCAATTCAGTTGATTTAAGTCAGAGTTCTTGTGTGGATCCAACTTACGTGCATTTGTATTAAACTTATTGCCAAATAGCAATATTTTTATGAAAAAAATTGCGAGCACATTTTAACCTAGACTTCAATTTCAACATTTTTACTTCAAGGTTAAAAATCCCTGCGCTAGTGAAAGCATGACATACTCGGCCAATCTTTCATGTCTTTTAAAAAAATATTATGTGCATCATCTTAAAATTTGTTTATTTACCTTTCTTTTGGTGAAAAAAATTCTAATGTGTCTTGAATAAAAGTCAAGATATTTGCGATCAATAGAGGTGGGAACCGTCTGGTGTCAGAGATAGAAATAGTGAGAAAATGCCTACCAAAATTTGGTGAATTCCAAGGCTTGAGTGTCCTTGACCTTGAAAGCTGCAATTACAGTTTTTGTGCCTTTAATCGTAGTTTCTCAGTAAAATCCCTGCAGAAATTGGAATGTTTTTGAATGAACATAAAAAGGTGTTCAGCCAGAATAAAATTTGATCAAAATTACCCTTCAGGCAGAAAAATATCAATTTCTTCGATTTCATTAATTTGACAAGTGCCTGATGTTACCATGATGACACACATAAACCTTTACACTCAGAGGCCTGCTATAATAGTCACAAATTTTACTTTTTTTTGTAGCTTTTCAACAGGACAGTGTACAAGAGTACAATTTCTCCTGGAGAGACTTATGGATCTGCCAAACCTCTGTTTATGGATCAGGATAATTTAACTCCCTAGTTAATTTATTCTTGGAAATCTGTAGGCCTAGTTGGTCCATATTTAAAAATATAATGTGCAATTAATGACAGTGATATAATATATATATGTGTATGTGTGTGTATACACTTTCTCAACTTTCTGTAGATCTAGTCTTCACAGAAGCAACATCAATTGCGCACGGCGTCACTTTTCGCCCGATTCCGTTATCTTTAGTCAGGGTGACTCAGCAGGCCGCTGGAGCTCCCCGACTGGGGTTAATAAGCCCTGAAGCGACTTTGCCTGTGTCGGTTAGGAAGTTCGCATTTTTGACTATGTTTAAAACTATATAACTTCTTCCCCATCCCACACAGCAAACCACTTCGCAGATGTACTAAAAGCTCAATGTCTTGAGATTTATTCTGAGTTGGAATAGTTAATTTCTGTGCCTTAGTTTTTGTTCTAGACAAGTGTTTGTACAGTACCCAATTTTTCCTATTTTAGTTACAAACTTATGAATAAATGATTGTTAATTTTAAAGAGGCACGACAGATCTTTCCAAAATCTGTGTTTAACTGACTACGGTACGAATATCACGTCTTTTACCATGAGAAGTCTTAAGTCTGCACGAGTAGTAATAGTCAAGTTATAAGAGACGAGCTGGGTACCCCGTTCGATGAACGGACTCATGAGAATCGATCGTCAAGTCATTTTGGAACCAATGTGCACTGCTTGTGAACAGAACCCTCACTTGTTTACAAAAACAATGGCGTCTTCGAAGGCGGACTTCCCGAGATTAGATCTAAACAAAACTATTGAAAAACTGAAAATTAAACTACAGTGACTTCAGACTCGTTCATATAACTGTGGACCCTATAAATGATTCTGAACCACCGTTATTTTTTTGTCAAATTCGAAAGTTAGGTGGTAGGTGGTTCAGACATTTTAGGCGCACTAAGTAAAAAAAGAAAACATGAGGCTAGATATATTCGGGCCGCACACTTAAAGTATCGCGATAGTATCGAACGGAAGTACGACTTAAAATAAACAAACTTGGAGTATTTTCTAAAATTACAGAGACAAGAGCGTCGGCCTACAAAAGCGATTGACGAAATAAAGAAATTTAGCTTTTTACAGCAAAACTGTCTCAAAACTGAAAAAACGAAGGGCGTCATGATCTGAAGAATATTTTAAAGAATCATTTTGCGAAAACCGCATGTCGATCGATGCAGCCATTAAAAGGCCTTTTGAATAGCTAAATTCGGCTACCACAAATAGATAATAGAAGAAAGGTGCACATCTGCATTTTTTAACTAAAGACGATCAGCGTTAGCTCTTATTTTACTATTAAATAAGAG